AGAAAATTATATGAAATAGACTTTAGTGTATGTTTAGGTTTCTCAACTATAGATTTGACGTATTTCACTCAGAAATACAAATAAATAACGTAATCAGCATATCAAAATATTGAATTGTTTCTTCAATATTGGTAATGTAAAGTATATGAATGAAATATGCTAAAATTATAGTAGTTTTCTAAATAGTCGGTCTGAATACGTTTTGAGATATTAATCATTTAAGTAATTACACTAATTAACCACTGGGAATTGCATTGAAATTAAAATTAATTTTGACATAATGATAATCCAATTTATTGTAAATATGGTTAAATTAACGTCTTGGGTCTTAAAATGTTCAATGATACTGCACTATCTTTTGTTACGGTTTCTTCATGTTCCGGAGTCATAACAGGGCCTTACAGCAAGCACGGTCTTACAAGGCATATACACATGTCACCACTTGTTGCACCAATTGTGAGGTGAGATAGCTATATGTTAGATTCCATCCACAGATGCAGATAGTGCAGCAAAAGGGCTTTACAAGACATTATAACGACAAAATATCACCGCCTGTTTGGAAAACGGAAGATATATATCTACGATTCATATTCATGAAGTTGGTACTTCTGGCAAACAAAACGACACCACCTGTTTGCACACATAAATAGAACAGACTGAAAAATCGATCCTAGTGTGAGTCCTTTAAATCGTTTTCAAGATAACCAAAATTGACTTAACTCTGTAACGAGTAGGTTATCACCAGATCTATTTTAATTCAATCAAATCACAATTCCAGGTTACGTTGTATTGTATTTTGTTTACCACCAATGAAGGTGAGCAATACCTCTTGGGTATGTCCCGTATATATACGGTCGTAATTTACGTAATTAACATGGAAGATAGACCCAGAAACCCCTCCTTGAAGGAGCCCTGTGTTCTTTTATGTGCACTTATACATAGACATATAAGTACACACCACAGCCTTTTTGTACGAGTTGCAGACCACTCAGTCAAACACCCTGAAGTACTTCACGCAAACAAGCAAATTTAGTCTTGCCTGAACCGGGGATCGAATCCGGGACCTATTGCGTAAGAGGTACCTGCGTTACCGCTGAGCTACACGGGTGGACGTTAAATATTAACAGTGCTTCAAATGCTAACGCGTAAGCTTGCTGCGTAGAATTGCAAAAATATAAAGGAATCATGCTCAATAAGAGAGGTAGAAAAAGAGCAACAACTTTTGTGTCGTTTAATTACAATTAGATCACTTCACGAATTGACTGCTTACCCGTTTCACATAAGGTCCCTGTATAACCTGGTGGACACTGACAGGTATTCTTTGGATCATCACCATCACTGGATCTGCTACTGCTTCCACTGCCTCTACTGCTTCTGCTGCTGCCTGTGTCCCCTCCACTGCTTTTGTCCCCTCTGCTTTTATTCCATCCTCTGCCTCTGTTCCCCTTATTACCTCTATTTATGTTGCCTCTATTCCATCCGTTGCCCCTATTCCTTCTACCCCAGCGGGAAAGGGTGGCCCGATCATGCCTCGTTCTAACACATGTACCGCCGTTCTGACACGGCTCACCCCTTATGCAGGGATCCTCCTCTAGTAAACGAGCAACGTTAAGTTTAGCGTTGGTTCTAAGAATAATCTGTACATAATGTTTCTTGCAATTTACTCATCAAATCACACACGAAAGAAAATAATAAAATCTGTTTCAAGTGATCCTATCAAATAATGGGTATAACCAGACGACTTCACGTTTTGGTAATTGGAATATTGATAAGTAAATCGTAAAAAATCATGATTTGCTGTCAGATAGTGGTCTATTATTTATGTCATCGGGTTTTTTGTTATAAAGACGTAGCTTCGTTATTACCAGGCGGGGAACATTGAATCGAGTGCATGTAGCCCTGGCACAGTCCCTATATTTGGTTTTGTTTAATGTGTATATTATATGAGGGTTTTGATATCGGTTATTACGATAATGGATGCATGTCTTGATTGTATTGCCTTTTAGTAAGAGAATTAAGAAATCTACATACCACTTGATGAGTCGTCAGAGGAAGAATGGGTATTATCAGAGCTAGAGCTACTAGTATCTGAAACAATACAATAGGTCTATTTAAAATAATGTATATACTTGATAACTTGGTGTTATTTTGGGCACAATTTTTTATTGCTCAGAATCCAATGCTATGATATTTTTTGTTTTCTAGTGGATGTTTAAATAAATATAACAAATATTTTGAAGACATGACACAATTCTGATAACTCCTAAAGGCAAGATATGACATGTATACGACATAATGAAGTCAGGATCCAAAATAGGCAAGGGGTCAAGTGGATATTATCCTGCTATTTAATTAACAAGCAGGTCTTGTTCAAAGCGTCGTCCTTACACAAAGCTTTTATTTCAAAACAACATTTTCGAAGAAACGATAAAAATTTTACCTCATGGACATGGATTCATGTTTTGTATTCAAATCTGCGAGGTGCATTATGGTTTCATAATGAGCTGAACAATATGATTTTATAAAGAAGTGATAATATTATTGAACTACAATAAAGAATCCCGTATCATTCTTTATATTGGAATTTAAAGCAATACTAAGTACTAACCCATTCTGGTAATGTACTCGGGCTCCGCCCTCGTTCATGATGTGTACTTGTTACTACAGGATTCTTATTCCTTAGATAATGATTTTGAAGACATGACTTTTTAAAAGTACAGCGTTAATTTAAAAAATGACATTATTTTGAAGATATTGACGCGACATTACTTTCAAGACGTGACAATGTTGCAATATTTTGTAAACATTTACATCATTTTGAATTTATAGCAGTGATGACAAAAAAGACAAGCTGACAACTGATTACCCGAAGAATCTGAAGGATCAGTTGGGCACACGTCACGTTGACAAGTACGCTGCTGCCGTGATATCCCTTCACATTGATCACCACCGCCACTTGGACGAGGATTGTTACACTGTCTCGTTCTTTTCTGAATACCTCTACCACACGTTACCGAACAGCTTTCCCATGTCTCCCAGTCCGACCAACCTCCATTCACAACGTGTCGTTCCTCGCTTGAGCTGTCAGATTCACTACTTGACCTGCCCCAACTTCTCCGGGCTGAAAAGCAAGATCAGATTTTTGAGATGTTTTCAAGAGACATTCCATGATCATATCAAATAATTCCCTTTCTTAGATTACAGCTTGATGTGACGACTTCGATATAATTTTTCTTGGGAAATGCTTTTAGCTGTTGTGTCTTTAATGTTTGTTTAATGTTTGAGACTGCGCCTCAATCATCACTTAGAAAGAAAAATCGCTGTCAATATATGAAATGTGATTTTCGAAAATGAAAAATTATGACCGAAGAATGATAAACACGAAAGACTACTCACCTCAACACATAAATGTATCGGAGCATAGAAATAAGATTGTGAGCAATTCAATACGAAAGCCAGTGATGTTAGCATTTATTACAGATTGTAAAACAATTAGGTAAATAAATGAAACTCTAACATGTCTAACGATAAAAAGCAATTCAAAAAGTGTGTTACTAGTATTCACCTCTATTCCCACGTCTATCTACCCTCTGTTGTCGACCCGAACTACGCCCAAAGCAGTAAACATCATTAATCAGCTCCAAACTTATGAAAACTAAGAACACATATCTGAAGAGTTGTCTCATTTCTGTGTTTCTGAATCTTCTTATTTTAAGTTAAAATGCATGCAATGTTAAACTTTTTAACATTGCATGTTCCCTTAATGAATTCACTTTGAAAAGTGATGTAGTCAGTAATGTATGAAGTACTGCAGAGATTAAAAATTGTTTTTAAAACAAGTATTTATTCTTATTAATTCTATTGTTTTAAAACCAGCAATGTCGATCAAGCGTGTTGAATGTTTAAACTTTGAAGTAGCATATGGCATGTAATACTTTGAGGTGTCATAGGATTGTTTTTGATAGATAAGCCATTTATTTGTACAGACACGATAGCATTAATGACACTAAGATGATTTTCATTCCTGTCTTTTTAATTATTTCTATAGACTGGTATTCTATATAGCGGGGAATGTTTTTAATCATTTATAAAAATGCGGTTTTCCGGTCAAAGCGTTACAGTTTGAACGTTGAGTGTTTATAAAAGAACACCAATTGATTATCTCATTCAATTGTAATGAAATAATTAGAACAGTTTTCAACACGTTTTGTAACGACTTCTTGTGGTCTTGGATTATGATGCCGATTCCTTAATTGTTTGTGGGGGTGATAGGGGGTTAAATCATAATTAGAGATGTTGGGGTTTGTTTCTGACTGTTTAGTTTGTCGATGTCAGCTCTTCTCTCTTTGTTTTGTTGCTACTAAGTTTACAGAGAATGTTGTTTCACCATATTTTCAGTTCTTTTTACATTCAATTAACTAGAATTCTAGGTCTTATACCCGCTATACAAATAAAGATAATAGTAAATGAATAACTGAATGCCCCCTTTGCATTATTTTGAAAGGTAGATCTAGTAAATGATCGGGTGGCGACGTAGAGAAATGAAAAGGAGGAACCGATTATTGTACTCTTCAATATATGAAGGGATAAAAGGTACAATACAATACAATACAATTTACAATACAACACTTGAAAAAAGGAAGTGCCACAAAAAGGAAAACTGGAAACGTTTGCAGATGAAGCTCCAATATTCCTAAGAACAGGAGAGATTTCATACAAAATGGAAGATGTTACCAATCCGTTGTGATATAAAGTTACTCAATCTACACAACTTGATACAGTTTAACACAAAGACTTGTGCATTATACCGACAACTTTATTTCAAAGGGCAGCATATAGTGGTATTCGGCCCTTTGGCCAAGATTTCACTATGTTGCCCGCTGAAATGTGTTGATAAAGGAAGATTGAGGGTGAAGTGTTTTTGTTTTTTCATTGTATCTATTTTTGTTGAAATATTTCCATTTTATATCAAACAAGATAATAAAACATTTTTATGTCTACTATCGGCAATTCCAAGTTCATTGAACATCACGAAGCCCTTCTTGGGATGTGTGTTCGAGTGTTGATTCAAAGGTTTCACCTTGGGACATGATGAGAATATACGTGGTTTATCTTATTACGTGACACATAGATTGCTCCTAAACATACATAGTCAAAAAGGAATCTTCGATATTGACATCCTTTCTTTGTCAAACTCTGAGTGACTGTAAAGTGAAATACGTTGTGTAAACATTATACTTTAATCAATATTTACCAGTGGTTTAAAGAAATACCAATTTACCAAAATAAGTTGAACAACATCTACAAGTACAACTAAATATTTAGAAATTAATGACAGGCTAACCGAAATGTTATATGGAATATCTGGAATGACATTTCTACAGCGTTGATTGACCGTTCCATAACGTACTGACTTGGTGATGGAATATAAAAATGTTTTAGCTGCGTTCGTTGTGTTCTCGATCATCTCCGACATACAAGGTAATTAACATCCTAAGGTACCTGGGTAAATCGTGTGATATAACCCATTTGCGTATCATATGTTGCATTTAATGATCAGCAGTAGCGGACACATGAAATACATTGTGTACAAATTGAATTCATTCCGATATGCTTTATTTTCACGGTGTATATTCTTCAGTTTCAAATTGACATTTTGTTTCTTTACACCTACCACGTCGTCTTACAGGTTCTAAATGTGGTGGGTTTATTACCTTACAAGACAGAGGGACGAAGCTAATAACGTCTCCAGGGTACCCCATTGGCTACTCTAACAACATGAAGTGTATTTGGTTGATTCAGGCCCCTGTCCACAAGAGAGTCAAGGTGGATATAACCGACGTTGACCTTGAAGAGCACGGCGAATTCGCATGCGTCGATCATCTTGAGGTAAATTATATTAGATCACAACCACCCTCTTCAGTATGATTTTACCGAAGATAGATACACACATCAAATGTGTGAATGAAGTTAAGCTTTGAAAAAGGTGTTTTTTATTTTCTCTATGGCCCGTCACTCATGCATGGCACTGTAATCCTTGGGTGCCTTATTAAGCCTATAGAACATAAGGCAATATCTTATATCAACTGTTTTGTATATCGACCCTAGCTTCGCGAGGGGAACAGCTCTAGTGCTATAATAGGGCGTATTTGTAAAGAAACCGTTCATCTGTATGGTGTGTCCGAGACACGTTGGTTGTGGATGATGTTCACCAGTGACAGCAGTCTCACCGCCAGGGGGTTTAGTAGCACTGTTTCTGTTGTAGATGGAAGTGAGTATACGTCGTGTGAACACAATAGGGAGTTTAAGCTTGCATAGGATCGAAACGCCAATCGCTCATACAAGGAATCGCTTAAATAACCTCCATTCACGTTTAGGTAGTGAAAAAAACATTGCATGCTTAAACTCCTATTTTATGTAATGATAGAATCTATTTTTTAGTCTGTAATCATGTGCCTTAATGATATACAACGTGTAAAGCCATTCTGGTTTTACGTCAATCGTTTTGGACATGGTGTTGAAACAATTTCAATAGTTATAAAAACAAAGAATCAATCTATTAAATGAGCACACTGATGTAAACTATTACATGTCAACACCTATTTTTGAATCGAATGGGAATGACTTCATGGGTGCGATCAACATTCAATTTAACACGTATAAATCTATTTCAACATCGCAAACAAAAGTAGGTTGAATTGACCACTTTACTTACATTCAAGCTATTATTATATGAACGTACAGAGTAGACCTACGTAAACACTCCAAAATAAAGAAATGCGTATTAAGGAAGTGTTTTGATTTCAGATATAACAGATTCAAATGCAGTGCCATATCAAGGTCAGTCCATTTTATGAGTTGAGAATAATTCCAAAATAAAATCATACCTAGTTATTATTTAACGTCAATTTTCACAATTGATTGATTGACAATTGATTGACGGCGACAAAATTGTAACTTGTGACAAGCATTCTGGTAAACTTAATGCCTGTCAATGGATAGTCGTCTAGTTTAATGTTTAAGTTTAAATTTATCTTCGTCCAATCTACATTTCGGCAAAGATCTGTGTGTTACTTTCATTACAGAGGATTGCGAGTACATGGGAAATTTCCAGTGCAGCAACTATGAGTGTGTACCTCAAAGTTCTAAGTGCGACAAATCTAACGACTGTGGTGACTACTCTGACGAGGACGAGTGTAAGTCGCTATTTACATTACCACGAACCGATTCACATATCGTACATGAACAACATCACATCGGGACACCCTGATGACGATAACATCAGATTCCGTTGTCACAAATGGCGGACGGAAGTTTGTCGAAAATAGCAATATTATAACTTCATATTTACAGTACAGTAAAACCTGTATATCTGAACACCTGGCTAATCCGAACACCTCCCAATCTGAATACATTTTTTAATCTGAATTCTTCTCATAAAATATCACATATTGCATCTAAAATGGCGAAAATTTGAATGTTAGATACTGATTTGTAATGAATTCAAAACTTGAAATAAAAAAAACCTTGAATGGGCTCAATCATAATGGGGCTTTCCAGCATGACTCAATTCATTTGAATTGAATTTTCAGATTACTGGAATGTCATTAAGCTAGTGGTCAAAGGAACCATAAATATTTATTGAAAATGTGTGATTTCTTCAAAACACATAATATCGCAAATGCAAAAACATCGAAATGTGAACACATTCTAATCCGAACGCTTTTAGCCAGTCCCAGTGGTGTTCGGATTAGACAGGTTTTACTGGAGTTACAAAATAACCAATCAATGTTTCTGTTAATTTCTCTTACACTCATGGGCAATTTCATCTGTGTGACTACTGTAGAGGTGGGAGGAACGTTTGTAGTACTGAAATTGGCATATACGTCAACGTTAAAGTTTATGTTTACGTTCAGATAATTTTTTAAATCAATAGAATAACTTATTTATCTAGATAGATATCAGTCATCATCATCTATTATTAGCTTTGAAAACGTTACGATGAAAACGTATAGTAAGTTAGGTTCTTTCTTCTCAAGCATTTAAGATTTTTTAATTTTCTCATTATTTTATAGGTCCTAGTTCTGCTAGTTCTGCTAACATTGCAGCAATAATAGGTGTCGCAGTGGCTTGTATCGTGATCTTCATCGTCTTGATTATAGTGGTGATATTTATATGCAAGTTGAAAAAGGCCCAGAGTGGAAGGAATGCACATGTATCACCTGGGAACACAAACAACCGAGGGACACCGAGCTCACCTTATGTCATCGATCAAAGCAATGTAAGCAAGCACCCTTGTCTCTAAAGACATTTTCTTCACAACTTCACAATGGATCATATTCACCCTGAGAATATTATGCGATCTTAATATATGATAGCAGGTAAGCCGTATCAAAGGCATCAAATCCAATAGGTGGCACCATTTACTGAAATAATCAATTCATTATTTTTAGTCTTGCCTCGACACTATGTAACCCACAGACTTCACCTTCCAAATTAGCGCCGATAGTGTCTCATGTTATGTTTGGAATTAGGTGAAGTACACACATATTCAATACTACATTATTTTATTCATTGACGTATTTTAGAATACTTCATTGGCACATGGACACTCGGAGCAACATGGAATGGTGATTCTAGGCTACTCAAGCCCACCACATGGATCCCATGGACACAATCACAATGGAAGTTTTACCCCTGCACCACCCTACAGCGCTGTCCAAAGTGTGCCTCAAACGGGACATATAGCAGATGAACCCCCTCCATATAACGCAATTGGCACAACCGCTCAGGCGCCTCCTTTACCAAATAAAGAATTTGAAAAAACAAAGTAGACTTAAGTTCGCTGGTCGAACTCTGATCTAGTTTTGTATTCAGACAATACAATTATGATTGTGCTTATTGTTTAAAACTCTTTGTCAGATGTAGTACATTGAATTTGAACCCGTTGGAAAGGGTACGTATTGGTTCATTGGTCAGCGAAACAGTAGAAATTGCGCTATACTTGAGAAGCACAAACTTCTAAAAAAATTATATTTATACAGAAAAAGTATGCAATAAATCTGAATCGAAGTAAATAAATGAAAAATGTATATTCTATGTCTGCAACCCGGGTTGCAACTTTTACTATTCTATCAACATCGGCTGTATTTCTATAATGATGAATGTCCTAGAAAATGAGATGTGGCTACGGTGGAAACATCTATCGTTTCATTTGTAACATTATGCCAAGGAGGTAGGCATGGACATTGACAGTTTGGGGCGCCTACTGGGTTGAATGCCAGTTCCATTATTGTCACGTGGAGAAAATAGGCAACCACAGCGACCAATACCTGAAACATCAACCACGAAAAGCAATTACAGATCAGGGCAAAACAACAATTCTAATGAACAGGAACAGGATGGGAAAATAGAGGCTGTCTCACCACGGTGTAAAAATACGGCTATACAATGCAGAAATATAATTTAGGTTTAAGTATCTTTGAGGATTTTACAAGTAAGCTTTGTATTTTGGCACTATGTGACGTGGTCGGGATTTGCAGAGGGGATCGAATTGTTGGCATTTGTTGCACACTTACAGATATAAATGTTTCCCTCGTTATGGTAAAAAGCTTCCATCCGGTAAATCCAATACCTCCGTTTAACTTCTCAACAAACACACCAATCTAAAATGAAAAATAAAAAGGTGAATTATTTCTTCCTTGTTTTCCTTCATTCGTTGCCAAGGAACAAGAAACAACATCAGTAAGAGTGCACATCGCCATGGTGCGACCTGGACGAACTGCGAATGAGATAACATATTGGGGACTGCTTATGGACGACTAGTAGTTTAACCCGTTTCACTACTTTTGGTTTGATAGGTGAAATTACGAATTATTATACAGAGGGCAAAATGATGTAGAATAACTTGCAATAATTCGCTTTTTAATCTAGCGATTAAGTCGTTATTATATCTTGAAATAGTAGTCTATAGTAATTATTGAGCACGTCTGTAATGTTTTTCCCGGGCGTTTTCATGCTTTCTGATTGTTTCCTGATTGCATTCCAAGGATCGGCATTTTTATCTAAGGTTGCATGGTAATAGAGGTCTGTACGAAAACCAACATACTTGCGCCATCTTGTTGAAAGACACTTGGTCCTCGTGAATCGTTAATTCATGAAGATAATTTAGTGGTTCTCCGCCCTAGAAATAATTATTTTGGCATATTGTAAATGGTTTTAAATTTTAGCAACAATCCTGTAAGATTGCAATTGGTGTACATGTGAATTAATATAGACAGAGGTCGGAGTTCATTTTGGTCTTCTGTTTATTTGTATTTATCTGTTGCAATTTGTATTTCTTATGAATAAATAATTGAGAGATATCTATAGTTTGCACGCACCGCTTCATTCAACATGGATGCGCACCATGTGACAACGAGGAAGCGGCCTAACGTAGCGACCAACCACGCCCCTTCCATGATGGGATAGATAGGATCCTTCCACCGATGTAGCTCAGCTAGCAGATTGTACATGACAAAGATCATGACAACAGCATCGGTTGTGTAGACGATGACGGTGTTGAAGTTAAACAAACTGTCGGCACGATTCACCAACCCACATATCTTGTTATGGGCACGACGAAACTGTTCCATATCACCTAAAGTATTCAAAATTGTTAACCATTCTTAAAATTGGTGGAAGGTGAAATAGACAATCAAGAGTAAATGTGACCTGGTACATGTGATTTGAAGTGAATATCGCAGCTCTATAAATGATATTAGCTATCTTAACATAAATGATGACTTGTAGTTATGTCAAACTTAAAAGAAAATGTAAATGGCAGACTGACATTTGTTAACAAGAATTACGATTGATAAAACTACAAAACGTGTGTATAAACTGGTATCAACATGATAAAAGATAAGACATATAAACAAACCGTCGAACGTTCCATCTTCACTCGTAGCAAGCTTGAACTTCTTAGTGAACCGTGCGAACTCCTCTTTCAACGTTATACAAAACAAAATAAATAAACAGGTGGAGAACGCCCAAGCAAGAGTACAGCTGACCGTAATTACAGAATGGAAAACGCGAATGAACGCAGGAAACGTGTCATTTCTACCATAAAATGGTAAGAATTCGAATTCGGAGTTTTGACCGTTGGTATTTATCCAAAAACCAACGAGAACTGTGTGTCCAATTGTAACAAGAACAGCAACTATGACATAAATCTTAGACCATACTGTCAAGTGTGTGCGATAAGATAAATCGTCCCTATTGGACATATGGTGATAACACTCCTTGAAAAATTCTGGGATGTGCATGGCCGTATAGTAACATGTAGTGGCCCCCAACGCAGCCTGAAGAAAGAATATATGACGACAGATCCTAAAGAAAAGCCCGGGTCCATACCAGCTATGTGAGGTATATACAGCGAAATAACGCACGAAGTTGGCCCATAGAAGTATAATGATAATCACTGAATAAACCTTTGAAATTGTGATATGCCTGGCTTTGCCTCCTCTCTCGCCACTGTGGAAAAGACCGAACGCTCGCATGGTTGTAAGGAGAGGTCGCAAGGCATTGTATAACGATGTAGGACTATTCTTATAATTCGATCCCATTGCAACTTTAGTTTCCTTAGAAAACAATTCATTCATATACAGTGACTCGGCATCATTATATTGCAATCCAACTTTCTTTTCTTTTTGACTGCCTTTAATTTCAGTCGACCTTCTCTTTACGGTATCGTCTTGACAATCAAATGATCCCAGCGGGGATTCAATGACAACGGAATTCGGTCGAGATTTTCGGAATATTGCTTTAGCATCTTTACGTTGGACGAAACTGTCCTGGTCCTGGATTTGTAACAGGTCTATATCATTATCAGTACGGTCATTGTTATTGAGGTAATGCTTTTTATGACGCAGTACTCCCTCCGGCGTGTCCAGTGCCGTAACGTCAACAACCACTCTTGCTTTCGGAATGTATACATTTTCCTTCCATTTCATCTGGGACATTGCAGTAACATTTGTATCTTCCTCTGCCGTTGACATGTCTGTAACCTAATGTATCTTTTTTGTCTACACTTTGTAGACTGTTCTAATATTTCATAACATTGACAGTATGTCCCGGTTTTTCATAAGTGGTGTAACACTAATGTTGTCAACCTGACTGCGAAAATACATTCAAACCATGCTCATATACTTTTTGCTTGTCTTTATTTATAAATTGTATCAATAAATATACTTCATATACAATATTTAAAACTTGTAAGTACAGTACTTATCTATAAGTACATACAAATTACAAATTGTTAAAGATCACTTAGTTAAAATAACACTGCTTAATTTAGAGATAAACATACAGTTCTCTTCGTAAGTTTCGTAACGATAACTTTAAAAATTTAAAACGGCCTGTCTATTTCACCAAACCTGAAAGACATCTAAAAGCCGTTTACGTTTTTGTAGAAAATAACTGACCCTGCACTACACTTGCCACACCTTAAATTAGTAATGGAGGTCTTTACCAAAACCAACCATCTTGGTATCGTTAATTCATGAAGATGATTTAGTGATATGGCGCGCCCTGGAAATAATTGTTTTGGTTTATATGGTGAACCATATAAACACGTACTTTGATGAGGAAAGTCGGCTTTTTTATTTAACTTATGGAGGTGTCGATACGTTTACGAGATAAGAATATGATATGATTACACTCTCAATGTAATTTATAAACATTGTTAAATACATAATTATGATCGTACGTTGGACTTGATAGTTGCCTATCTATCAATAATATGAAGGTTAAGTTACATGTTTTTAAGAGAAGCAATACGAGGGCGTGTAATATTTCGACCCCCGGGGATTACTGTCCCGCTCTCAATTCACTTTTCCAGGAACCTCTAAATACAATTATTTCCTTGCGCTTTATACTAAATCGGCCAAGTTAACATAACAAATGGGATAACTAATCCAGACTACACGTTCACGTACAGGTTATAAAAAACTTGGATCTTAACCTCCATAATTTCTCACGAACCCACATGTACGTACAGTGAAGTTCAACAATTTGTCACCTCAACGGAGACTGATAAGATCTGAATGCCACTCTTTATAATGTATTTTGAAGAACATCGTTTACAAAGTCAATGTTATTCAACAAAATAATAACTAACAGCCATGAAAATACACATAAAATAATAGACGTTTTTTTTATCAATAGATACAGGGTATCCTGTACGTGTAACTGTAAACGTGTAAAACTGATCTGACAGAGAATTCAACAATCATAAAACTGAAATTTTCATCAGTTAACTATGTTTAGTTATAGAGGAAAGCTCGACTCGGACATTGACATTGATGTCGTGTTTACATTTTGTAACACACACAGTGCATACAGCATTGTGATTGTATTTTTCCTAGAGGTAGTGGTAGCTTGCTATTGTGCGACGACAGTGATAGAGTTATTGTCACCATTCTAGTACAATGATGCCTTGGTTGTAACATCTAAAGTGGCGTTTGTTGTATTGTGCCAGGGGGGTAGGCATGGACACTTGCAGTTCGGTGCAGCTACAGGGTTGAATGCTAGTTCCATGATTGTAACGTGTAGGAAGTATGCAATTGTAGCCACGCATACCTGAAAAATGTTATTTATCATTATACTCGATAAGTATTATACATAAGTGAAACCTGTGTATTCGAATCTCTCGCTGTGAACACTTTTTCGCCTCATTTTTTTACTTACATGTTAAAAATCGCAATGTGAACATTTGGTAATTTGAACACTATTTGTCGGTACCAATGGTGTTGGATAAGAGGTTTTACCGAACACACTCCAAATCATTGCGATTCGATTATCAGCAGGTTGAACAAGGAGTTGCTATCCTATACTCTGCAGAAACCGAAGGTATACATAACAAATAAACGTCATATTTGACGTTATTTGACGTATGTACCGAAATTGATATATGAAAACATACGATATAAAATCTTTGAGATTGAGAAATGATAAACATACTGAGACAATGGTTTCCCTTGTTATGGTGTAAAGTTTCCACCCAGTGAAGCCAATGCCTCCATTCAACTTCTCTACGAAAACGCCAATCTGAAAATAACAACAATACACAATTAAACTAATAGTATAATTAAATATAATGTAATTTGTAATATCCACACACAATGGCTCATTGGCGGAGCCATCGTTACCACTGTCGCTTGGCCCCGGATTCGATTTACGGTAAAGACAAAAAAAAGTTACATGCATTATGTAATGCTATGTGTTTGGCTAAGTGGTCCAAAAGTCGATTACCAGGTCAAACTCATGATATTCATATAATCTTTCAAAAACCTTATCAAGAATATTCATTCAGTGAATACAACAACGAGGATGGAATATTTGTTTTTTTTATTCAGTTTATTCTATTGCAAATTATCATTTCAAAATACAAATAAAAGTAGAGGCTGTACTTTACAGTATTAATAGCCACGTTGAAAATATGAGTTTATGGAATCAGAGATGAAAATGTTGCTTTTTAATTATTTTTTCATAATTATTCATCCGACTTTTTACATTATTTACAGCATCATAGCCGTAGCCAGCGGGGGTTCGGTGGGTTCGAACGAACCCCCGGTCAGGATTTCCCAAAATATAATTTTGCGGGAAAATGCATATAACCAGAATCATTAAATTACTGTGCTATTTGAAAACTACATATATGAGCAGTAAATGAATTGATATTTGTTATGGTGAACACGATAGCATTATTTTCTTAAAAACACTGGCCCGTAGCCAGAATTTTCCAAGGGGGGGTTTGTTTTTCTAAAAAATTCTAGGGGGGGGGGGGGGGGTTCACTTTGGCAAATATGGCCAAAAATCACTCAAAAATTAGTCAGAATGGTGAAAAACTGCATGATTTTCAAAGAAATTTTGGCCCCCCCCTTGGCTACGGGCCTGAAACATGTCATAGTGAAGTTACACTTCCCTCAGAACGTTTGGCATGCTTCATCTCGGACAAAATAACCCATCTTGGGCAATGGCTAAATCAGTCCTTTATAGGAATTTTGTTTTAAGCCAGTTCTGGTCCAATACGAAGTTATTGAAAGTTATTGAAAACAATGCAGACGTCCCATACTCCGAATGATTATTACAACATTGGCGATAAATATCTGGAATAGTCGTAATATTGATAAAACACATGTTCTTTCAAATGTGTACATCTCTGTTTTGTTTTATTTCGATTAAAATTTAAAATATTTCTTGGGGCGTCCCTGGGGCTGGCAAGTCCCCGAAACCAATTAGTAATTAAAAACGTTGTGAAATGAATTATTTAAAAGCGTATATCATTTATAAACACAAGCATTTGTTCAAATTCATTCATTCTTTCATTTGTTCAGTATTAATTTACCCATCACTTTCCAAATTTTTTTCAGATACACTCCAATCATCTAAGAGATTGTATAGAATTCAAATTGTTATCGTTCCAGTTTACTTGCTCTCCATTTTCATGTTAATGTCATGATATGTTTAGCGAATAAATAATATAATAAAAAAAAACATTGAAAAATTATATGGTATTAATCTTCAAATGATGAAGGCCTAATTTGTTATCAAGCCGTCTGAACTTAACAAAATAACAGTCCTTGTATTTATATATAATTTTATCCACTAAAACGTTTTTATTATCAATTGCGGTTGATCTGCTCTGGGGGACTTACCACTGAGCTCCGATGACGTCCAAAGAAATATTTTTAACTTTTTAAAACAAAGCATAACCGAGACCCACTTATTTGAATAATAGATATTTTCATCAGTAATACGACTATCCCAGATAGTTTATAAAGCCTTCGTGTAAACGTTGTGAAAAGTTATCAAAAAAGAACGATCTTTCGGAGTATAAGGTGTTTGCGTCAATTTCAATAACCAAGTGCATTTGATCCGAACTGGCTTCCAACAAATTTCCTGAAAAATAATGATAAGCCATTGCATGAGGTGATTTATTTTGTCCTAGATGAAGTAGCTTAAGTTAAAGAATAAATTGTGCGAAATAGTTGATATTCCTTGGAAACAAATCATGCTCCAGGGTCTTCCAGAAATCAGTCGAAATAATGGTGGATTCGGGGCAAATCAGATTTCAGGATATGTATTCAGTAAAAGATTCACCGAAGTATATTTTGATGCAGAACATTAATTATAAGTTGTCTGACTTTTTTGCACGTTGCCTGTTTATTTTACTTTGTGAACATTAAAGTTGCAAAGCTACAAGGTCATTTTTGAAAATCATTTTTACGTCCAGACTTTTCTCATGTCATTCCTTGTCATGTCTATTTTCTAAAAATCACAACAGTGCATACTTTATTCCAGGAAAACTAAAGATTTTTACAAAAATGTATTATTTTTCTATAAGAATGGTTACCATTCTTATTATTTGGGAGAATTTAAACATTTTTCACTCATTTTTGCACTTTGAATCATTCATAACTTCACCAATTTATAACATGTTGTGAATCTTTGGGGAGATATTGTATTTGATATTGTAAGGAATAGATTGGTAGGTCAATTATACATGTTGCTTGTAATTTTATCACCCCCTATAGATCAGATTCTGCCTTTAATGAAGGTATTGAAATGAATTCTATTTCTCCTCCCAAAATAGTTTCTTTAAAAATTATGCAAATAAGAATTCAAACTTAAAGATGCTTTAATACATAATCCAATGGGGTAGTAAGGATTGCCAAACTTTTGGGGGGAGTGTAATTGTACAAATTGCATTATTTGAGAAACCTTAATGAAGGGGGGGGGGGGATTTGTGAATAACATAAAAATAGAACCCCCGGTCACCAAATCCTGGCTACGCCACTGAGCATCTACGCCTTAACAGTGTTTTATCTAATCTAAAGTTGCTAGCTAGTTCCGAAGGAAAAAGGAAAGGATAAACTTGTATAGCAAAGGTTTTTCGAGAAAATGAGGCTGTAACAATTCACATCTAGGTATATCTATACGTCACCTGTGATATTGTCAAATGATTTAAGAAATGTGATGACAATTTTGTACACACCTGTGCCATCTTACTGAAACTTATTTGCTGTTCGTCAATCTTCAACTCATGCAAATGAGTCAGTGGTCCTCGACCTCCCTTAAACAAAACAAATATACAACAAAAATACAAAACAAATCATATTATCATATGCTAAGTGATAACAGTTATATGTTAATGATATTAGAATTTAGAAAAGTCGATCGCAATTTGTTAAGGATAGTGACCAGATACATTACACGTGCATTTTGTTAAATAGTGAGTTATCAATATTTTGTATATATACAAGAACAATTTCAATCTATATTAGTATTCCCGTAGTCATTGGCAGCAACAAAAGATTCAAATAGTGTATACATGTCATTGAGTTTAGCCAATGAATATCATTTTTTAATAATATTCGTTAATGTATTCATATGATGGCGTTTATAAAAAAATTCATGATAGAACTTACCGCCTCGTTCAGCATTGCAGCGCACCAAGTTACGAGAAGGAATCGAATGACGTTGACGAGCAACCACAGTGCTTGCATGATGGGGAAAATGGGATCCTTCCAACGATGGACTTCCGCTAGCATGTTGTACATGAGAAAGATGTTGATAAGTAGATCGGTAGGGTAGACGATCATGGTGTTGAAGTTAAACAGGCTGTCTGCGTGGTTCACAAGGCCACATATTTTGTTGTGTTCCTTACGATAAACTTCCATATCACCTGAAACAAAGTATACTTGGGCTAACTGAAAAATGGTAGAAGCTTTTTGCAATTGTCTACTGTATATCTTCTTTTTAGAGAGAGGACTACTGGCATCTTTTCGTAGACCTAGTGTCAGTATGTAAAGAATCAGGAGTCGATTGACTGCGGCTGCACGTTTATACAATTTACACACAATGAAATTGACATCTTACCTTCAAACGAGCCTCCAGCTGTAGTGGCTAACTGGAACTTCTTAGTAAAACGTTCAAATTCTTCCTTTAACGTGATGCAAAACAACACGAAAAGGCATGTTGAGAATACCCAAGCAAGAGTGGATACCACTGTCAAAACGGAATGAAATACTCTGATGAACACGGGGAATGAGGCGTTTCGATCATAAAAGGGCAGGAATTCGAATTCGGAATTCTGACTTCTTGTATTGATCCAGAATCCGGCCAAAACAGCGTTTGATATCGTCAACAATACAGCTGCGATGACGTAGATTCTTGACCAAGTGACCACGTGTTTTCTATATGATAGATCGCTTCTCTTTGCCATGTAGTTATGGCATGCTTTGAAAAATTCTGGTATTTTCATAGCTGTGTAGTAGCAGGTGGTGGCACCAACTGCACCTTGTAAGAACCATAAATGGCGACATATTCGAAAGAAAAGCGCTGGTCCATACCAACTGTCAGAAGTATACACCCAGAAATAACGCACGCAATTTGCCCAAAGAAATAAAATGACTATCATAGAATATACTTTGGAAATTGTTACTCGTTGTGATTCGCCTTTCTTTCCTTCAGAATGGAACAGTCCAGAGGCTCGCATACTCGTCAAAAGAGGCTTCATTGCGTTGTATAGAGATGTTGGACTGTTCTTATAGTTTGTCCCCATCGCTACTTTGGTCTCTTTGGAGAAAAGTTCTTCCATGTACATAGACTCAACATCACTGTACTGAAGTGACCCTCGTTTTTCACGTTGCTTGTATTGTTGCGATCCAGTTCTTTCACGTTGACCATGCTGGATTTGAGATGATCTCTTCCTCACCGATTCATCATCGCATTCAAATGAACCAAGAGGGGATTCGATCGTGATAGAACTTCGCCGGGATGTCGGTGCTGATCCAGTACCATCTGGACTTAAAAGGTTCGGTCCAGATCCATTACTCCAGCGGTTTACTCTTAGCGAAACGTCAACTGATGTTTTCCAAGGATGTATAACAAGTTCGTCAGGATGATGAACTATTGCGATTTTTCTGTTATTACGCAATTTTACCTGTTCACTTGGGGCCTCTAAAGCTGTTACATCGCACGTTATTCCTTTGGTATCGTGGTTCCCCTTATTATCCATTATTGTTCCTACTTGTTTATCATGTGAATCACATGTACGTTGCAGCAGTTGTTATGACAACGTCGTTCATACCAGTAGCAAACAGGTAACTAAGTCAACAGTTACAATGAATGAACACTTTTGGAGTTCAATATCAATTTTAAACAAGCTCCTAACCAGAACAATCATCTACGCTAGTATTGTTTTCCAAAATGATCATTACTGAGCCACTGCGTCACACAATTATGTGAACTTCAATGCACGTAGCTCAGCTAGTTAACTAAATAAAATAATGATTTAAATAACACGGATTCACGAATAGAAACTATTTCAAATGCGAGACAAAAACAGCATATTATTAATCAATTAATATATATTTCTCAAGTAGTCACTCCTTTCATATTATCTTATACCAGAAATAGACGCACTGTATAGATAGCACACATTTTGACTGTTTAGATACAATGAAATGCAAGTAAATTGATTTCAAATACATTGTATTGTAGTCATTAACCTAAATGTTTACACCATTTATTTATATTGTCTTGATATAAATTAATTGTGCTGTTATCATAAGAATTGTATAAATAAACAACTGAAGAATTAAGAACAAATCATTTTGTAACTTATCCCGACACCATTATTCGGTTAAATAAAAATGAAGAGATTTAACAAGATGCCTAACTAAGATATCTAACTATGCCCATGATCTTGAGATTTACCGTGTGCTCTAACTGTATAAACTAATTATAGTTGGTATGTGAACATATTTGAAATACATATATACAGGGTGGGCCAAAAAAAACTTTTGCCTAAAGAACAATTGCCTATTTCTACCTAATTTTAGTAAATTACAACATTGTCATGAGTCTTTCATAATTGGATATTATATATTGTTTTCATACAGTTTTTGAACCTTGCATGTTCAATATACATGTGTATCCTTATAAAACTAATTCATTTCTTCTTCAGTCTGTCCAAAAATAGCTCAATAGACCCACACCCCCCCCGGACCCATCCTCTGATTGGATTATTCGCTTAAGACACGGAAGCCATTGGTTGATGGCATAATTGATGGATGTATGCGGAAGTACCTTTCAACTACTAGTTATTCTTTTTTTTAGTTCCTCTACATCCCTGATAGGCTGGGTATATTTAAATACCAACTGTTCTAGATGCCCCCAGGTATGGTAATCAACATTATTGGCAACTGGACTGCCAGTAAGCCATTTTTCTGGGCTAGAGATGGTGACATTTCGAATCTCCAAAAACTCCATGGTAGCATTGGACCTGTGTGATGGAGCACTGTTCTATCAGAAAATGAAATTTCTTTCACATGTTTTTTATATTCTTGAGGAGTCCTTTTTACCACCTCATGTCATTAACATTCAGAGTATATTTTTGCTCCTGGTTCAAAAACAGGGCCTGTATGGTCTTTCCTTTTTGGGAAACACCGAGTGGACACCACCTACCTTTCAGAAAAATGTCATCTCGATTTGAGTAGCCTTTTATCGCAAAAGTCACTATTCTTGCTTACTGATATAGAGTATATAGCCTTTTGATTACATGTATAGTACTTGGGGCATTTAGAACAGTTGGCCTATGGATATCCCTAGACCATCAGGGGTGTAGACAAACAGAAAAAAGGAATAATTAGGTGTTGGATGGTACTTCTGCAGAGGTCCATCAATTATACCAATGGCTTTAGCGTTTTAAGCGAGAAATCAAATCAGAAGTTAGGTCTGGGGGTGAGTCTATTGAGCCATATTTGGACAGACTGAGGAAGAAATGAATTAGTTTTATAAGCATACACATGTATATTAAGCATGAAAGGTTCAAAAACTGAATGAAAACAATATATAATATCCAACTATGAAAAACTCATGACAATGTTGTAATTTATTAAAATTTGGTAGAAATAGGCAATTGTTCGCAAAATCGACGGAAATTGAAAAGGTGTTTTTTGACCCCCATGTCACACAAATGATTATATCTCAAGCCAGAGTTGTTGAAAATTGTTCTATTATATATCATTTTGTTGCAAATTAAATTATCTTTAAAATGATATATCATTGTTGGTGTGCATGTTAAAAATTGAATATTTATCAGAAATATTGGCTAGGGGGGTGGTTTTTTTGGCCCACCCTGTAGATCTGTTGGTATGATGTTAGGGTAAGTTTTGAATAATAAAATAAATGTCGAGTTAACTTGGTTTCGTTGCCATAATACGACATCCTCCTAAATTTTGCCCATTGAAAAGTTTGTTCATTGTATCAAAGAAATATTTCTGTTCTTGATATATTTGCTCATTATGCACAGAAACATGTCTTTCTTTCTGCTTCACGTAGTTGTCGTATCTTTGGCTGCAATATACAGCCCAGTCGTTGGTCAGTTCCGTCATCTGGAAAAGGAAAAATATTCTGTCAAGAATAACATCCATGATAATATTCATATTAAAAATATCAAACGCTGGTCAAAATTCATCATGATTCAACATTAAAATGGAACATTTGGATTGCAGGTGATATTAGATTTTATAATCTTACCATGTTACAAAAAAGCTAGGATGAAGAATTCTTATCCTAGCAAAAAGGTTCACATGAATCTAGAATAAGAATAATATACAGTAAGATACTGTATATCGTTTCTTTTTACATACTCTGATTTCATAAAATCCTGCTTGAGTGCAGACATTGAGATATTCGCTGTAGGAAGGCAGATTTTCACAGAACACCCCGCATTTTAAATCATCCAGCTCAGATTTGCTAAAGTGTCCCTTCGCATAGAGATCTTCTATATATCTGAAATGGGAGTTTTTTATTGTTATTAATATGTATACGTACAATGATTAATATGGAACATCTCAAATCGTCAGGAAAATTATAGGAGAAAAAACAGTATAAGAGAATGATTGTACCTTCTGTCAGACCTAACTTACATTTTACCCCCTGGTTTGAGATGGTCGTAGCACTGTTGTAATAGCCGCCTCTTGTCGGGTATATGTAGAAAGACCAACCAGCTCACAATCACATCGAATTTGTCCTCTAAGTGCAAAATGATAATGGTTTAAAGATGTACATTAAACAGTTACGTGTTTTGCTCGACTTCGACTGATAGTCCCGGGCTGATAGTCTAGTAAAACAGATTATGAATACACCAATGACGACATGCTTCAGATACATTTTTAAAGGACAAACGATGATTTTGTATTGGTTTTATCCTTACCGCCTGGTTCCATTGACATGAAATCGCCAACGACATGATGAACTTTGTCGCCAAGGCCACATCTTTCAGTCAGGTCTTTGGCAGTTCTGTTCACATCATCTTGTAGCTCTACAGCTGTAACTTCACAGTTATAATGTTGTGCAATATACCGTGCAGGGCCCCCTAATCCAGACCCTACGTCTAGTACACGACTTTCTGACCTGTAAAAATATATGGATTATGAAATGCAGTGTCGCCCGTCACTGCATCACACAATGACATTAATCTACTAATTGCACTAATCTAATATCATAATCATTAATCTAAAATTACACAAACATAATCCAATTGCACTTACCCAATATCCAGTAATTGTGCTGCAGTATCTACAGCCTGAACCCCGTGGTAATGGTAGTTGTCAAATTTATTAAGAACATTAACCTTCAGTGCATCATCCTCCTTATATCCTGCCTGTAAAGTATTGACAATGCATTCATAGGCTGTCGAGTTCTACAAGATATATATCGGTATTTTACAGAACGCCAGCATGCACATATACCTTAGTTTACATTATTCACCATTCTCAAAATCCGCCCGTGTAAATCATACAATCAGGGGTAATTATACAATAAAAGTGCTCCATCTGTGGTAGGAAATTTTTTCGGAGGATTTCAGAAATCTTTGATTGAAATGTATTCTACCTTAACATCCGCTAACTAGATATCATAGTGAATCTAAAACAGTTATACTTACATTCTTTAATTCGTTGTAAATCCTGTCCACGTTTGAATCTGAAAAATGTTCAATACGTCTTAATTTAAGATGTAAATGAGAAAAATCATGACTTTCATAAGACAGCATGCTGTCTTTATGCATATTAATTTAAGAAATGTAAAAAGGAATTAGAAAAAACCCTAAATGATACAATGTTAATATCAGGTTTAAAGTCCACTTAGATCGTTAGTTTTATCTGAGACTAAAATTTTATGATGGTCTCAGGTTTTATCAAAGTATTATCGTGAAATGTCCTCATTACAAGCAACTCTAGATCTTTGTTTGAGTTGAACGTCCTGAAAATTCAAAATTGAATGTGTAACTTGTTAATCAAAAGGGAGATATTAAACAGATACCAAAACTAGGGAAACAACTCGATAACAGCAATGTCAAGGCGTAACGAGTCCTATCGAACAGTCATGGCTGCCATTTTAGCCAAATGGTCATTTACAGTGTAATATTCTCCTTAGAAGTATTCAAATATAAAAGGATCCGTCATACTAAGTATATAAAAAATGCCCCCGGCTCAATCATAACCATTATGACAGATAATATGGTATTTAGTTACGGCATAGTGTTCAGGTGCATCCTATAGTGTTATTGAGGTCATAGTGACCTTGTTAACAGTGCATATCTGAAAATTAAAGATTCCCGTGTGCAAAATTATCATTAACATTTAAAGATTTTTAAAGATTTAAATCTAAAATGTAAAAATATGATAAAGAATGTTGTTAATGTCAGGGTGCATGATGGGAAATTTTAATTTTAGTCTTAATTATGAAGATTTGGATTCATTTATTGTGCTACTTAAAGTGAACGGGAATTATTTTTCTACCGCTTGAGAGAGTTTGAGACACGAAACTTAGAATTTAGCTCATTGTGACAACTTTTGATGGTTTAGGTTTATTAATGTCTTCGACTTTACTTAATTTCGTACCAGAAAAAACATCTGCAGGTATAGCATTTTTTACCAAAATGTTATTTTCCAGCTGTACCTTGATAATTTTCTGTAATGTATAAAAAATCAGTGGCCTGCGAACAATCATGGAGGTCACTGAATTCTTTGCTTTGATATATCTCTTATAATAACAACTTTCAAACACACCGCACAAACAAGAAAGATGTAGAGCATTTCTGGAATGACTTATGTCTATTTTAAAATAACATAACATAGGCGTTATTTTCACAAAGCTAGGTAAGGTGTGTTCGATTCCAGCCAATCCGAACACAGTATTTCATATAATTACACAATCCATCCAATGTCATTCGTTGGATGGTTACCAAGGTGATAACTTGACTCTACTGATTGAAATTGATACTTTGCCAACTTGATCCTTGCAAAAAGTCGAATCGGATACTTCTTTCAGTAATGGTTTCGTAGCTTTAAGGTCAGTGATCTCGAAGAAACCAATGCGTGAAAATAGTTTAAGCCCAAGACTCGGTGCATTGTGCCTGATTCATTCCACATATCTCTTAGCACTCTAGGCTGCGAAACAACATATTTAGATGAATGATCAGTACATAATGCACTGAATCCAGAGCTTAAGGCCAGGGTGCATATTCAGAATTTTTCTGCATTCACCAATTGAGTCACATGTCATTTTTTCCGGGCATTTTTTCGCACATGAATCAATCCTTCCACACATGCATTCAGACATTGTCTTCCAGTTTTGCAGAATCTTTTCACTGAATTTTCTTGTTTTTTATACATTTTATCAAAACATTCTTCTTTGCATTATTTTCTAGGTACATTAGTGCACTCATTGTGCAACAGTGAGAGATGTTGACATCGTGGGGAAGGAGTGATTCAAATTTGAAAATTACATGTGACCGGCCTATTGAGGGTTGCAGCAAAATTCCGAAAATGCACCCTGACCTTAAATCCTTAAATTATAAAGCACATTGATTCTAGGCAGTCAATCCTAATAAGCACATGTGCTGTACACATACATAGGCCTACTGTACACATGTGTATAAGATACGATGTCACTTACAAAGTTTCATGGTCTTGATGTCATCTTTGTTGGCCATGCATGTTATCCCTATATCCGCTCCCTGATACATCTCAGTCCTTATCTCATATCAAAAGCCCTATCAGTCTCCAAGTACCAAAGTGGGTAGTTAAAATACGATGACTGCATACAGTGTTTAGTATGGACTAATATGGAGCTACGCCAACAAGGGTGTTTACTGTTGAGTATTGACCATGTCCTACATCTGTTACAGTACTACACGAACAAGATGAATTGCTATAAAGTTACCATTTCAGATAATCCGATTAGTTGCATGAACCTATGTATTGGCGCTAGGGAGCTTTCAAGGTCAAGCAACAGTTAAAAAGGCAATAATTCACTGTTATTTTAAGTGTATGAGAATAATAGCTGCGTTAATAAATATAATGTTTACTTCAGAGGAGTCCATTTAAAAAGGGCCACAGCGTACAATCCATCCTCCGAACGCAGGGCTCTAGACAGCATCCACTACGGAGGTAGTTCTGGAGGCCTGTATTAGGAGAATACGCATTTAATCAGGTTTAAAAATAATTCTTAAGAGCAAGATTTATTTGGAAATTAAACGAAACTTTTGGAAAAAAACAGAGAAGTTTGATTGTAATTATACCGACTTACAATACATCAACAGGGGCGGATCTGGGAACCAACAAGGTGGGGGGGGGGGCAAATTTCAGGTCAGAGAAAAATGTTGGGCCCCTAAAACCCATTCAAATTTTGGCCTGAAATTAAAAAATAAGGCCTTAAAAGGCCCAGTAATGACCAAAAAGGCCCACTTTTTGGGGCTTTAAGGCCTTTTTTGGCCCAAATTTTTTTCTGGGCCCAATTTTTTTCCTGTGCCCACCCAAGGGGGCCGGGCCCACACCCCCCCCCCCCAGATCCGCCAGTGATCAATAAGGTTAAGTTACATATTTCACATTTCCTGAGGCTTTTATACATATTGCGGTATTCTTTCAGAAATTTCAGTGAGTGGTCAAAGATATTGTACAGTGCAGCATACGATACCGGCCACCAATCGGCCCACCGAAAATGCCAACATTTCAAATGAATAACAAGAACACAAATGTGTACAATATGTCCCCACCTATGGGTGATCCCGTCAAATGGTTACCCTAAAAATGAGTAGACAAGACTTTACCGACACAATTTGAGGACGGAGAATCCAAAATGGCCACCTTAAAATTTACCAAGAATGCCAAAAAATTAGTCAGTTCTAGATTTTCATACTAAGAACCACCCCTGAAAATTTGAAATTGATCTACTAAACAGTTCACCTGGAAATGTGTAGACAAGACTTTACAGACGAGATTTTAGGACAGAAAATCCAAAATGGCTGCCTTGACATTTACCCAGAATGCCCAAAAACTAATCAGTTCTAGATTTTCATACTAAGAATCATCCCTGAAAATTTGAAATTGATCTACAAAACGGTTCACCTAAAAACGCGTAGACAAGACTTTACGGGCAAGATTTTAAGACAGAAAATCCAAAATGGCTGCCTTGACATTTATCCAGAGTGCCAAAAAACTAATCAGATCTAGATTTTCATACTGAGAATCATCCCTGAAAATTTGAAATTGATCTACCAAACGGTTCACCTGAAAATGCGTAGACAAGACTTTACAGACAAGATTTTAGGACGGAAAATCCAAAATGGCCGACAATAAAAAAGTGATTAGGAGTTTTTGCTGAAATCTTTTTACAAAATTATCACATATAACTACTGTTAACAATAACATAGGCTTTTACAACAAAGTACACCTGAAATTATTTATAAAGCTACTAAAAAGTTAAAGTATGAAAACTGAAAAACACCATTCAATATGATACAAAGTATTATCGTGCGCTAACTTTTCTTAAAACATTCAAAATGGCTGACATGACTGAGCTAACAGGTCCAAAACCTAAACAGATCTAGAATGAAGTGAGCTGAACAAGATGTTAAAGTTTTAAAAGCAACTGTGAAGCCGTTTTTCTTAAAGTTTGCAGACAAGGATTTTAGCATTTGACTTCAAAATGGCCGACAGGAAGTAGGTATCGAGTTAATTTTTTTTCATCCACATCTGTATGCACTCATAAGTTATCCCTGAAAATTTGAAGGTGATATCTGTAGCGGTTTTGGAGAAAACTGCCGGACGTACGGACAGACGGACAGACAGACAGACAGACAGACGGACAGACGGACGCGCCTAGGCCGACAATATGGCCCCACACTATGTGGTGGGGACATAATAAAGGATTTCCTAAGTGACCATTGATATTACACCACTCTTTCAACCGCCTATATGGGTGTGATCATGAAAACTTTGGAGGTTACACCTGTTCTGAATTAATAATGCTACTCGGCTGTAATTTATGGCTGGCCATCTGGACCAATGTCCAAAAAAATATTTTTGACGCCGTTCAAAATGAATTTTAACGCCGTACATAATTATTTTTGACGCCGTAAAAACGATTGTATGCGCCGTATATAATTACTTTTAACGCCGTTAAAAACGATTTTGTACACCGTCAAAACTGTTTTTTTACGCCGTTAAAAATTATTTTGAACGGCGTAAAAAATGACATCTCATGTAGACCCAGCTGGATGACATCAAGTACGTTGTTAACCATTGCCCCATTTTCAGTAATTTCACTATCAGCCATTTTTCATTTTACCCCTTCGAACTTGCGAACGTACATTGTTAATCATTTGCGTTAAAACGAACAATGAAAACTCGATGTATATCAAATTCCCGGGACAGTTGTAGTCTTCCATACAAGCAAATGCATCTGGCAAATAAAAATGCCAAAATAAATGATAAACATACACTCCCCTCCATAAGTTTGGCAACCTTAGCTCCCCCATTGAACTACGTGTTAAGGCCTCTTTACCTTTGAATTTTTATTTACTTAACCTGCGATGATAATACCTATACTATTGATGGAAACGTTATTTGACTTTATTTCCAATACCTCCAATTTTTTCAATTTTTTTTCCTCCATTACAATTATAGGTCGAAAATTGATGATAAATAACACAGGAGTCGAAAAATGATTTTCAAAAATGACTTTGAAGCTCTGTAACTTTAGAATTCGTCAAGTAAACTAAACAAACAGTTAGCGCACAAAAAAGTTAGACAATTCAATTTTCTATATAAAAATATTTTTTGCTGAATCTTTTACGGAATAGATATCCCGATTTCTGATTTGTCCCGAACCCACCATTTACCATTGGTTTACATGGGAATGACGATTTTCAAAAATCATCAAATTTATCATCAATTTTCGAACTATGTATTTGAGGAAAAAAATTGAGAACATTTGGAGATATTGGAAATAAAGTCAAGTTACGTTTCCATCAATATTATAAGTTATTTCATTGCAGGTTAAGTAAATAAAAATTCAAACGTAAAGAGGCTTTAACACGTAATTCAATGGGAGAGCTAAGGTTGCCAAACTTATGGAGGGGAGTGCATTAACAGAAAAACAGGATTTTGGATTTATATCAATCAGTCGGTAACCCTACTATCACACCAAACTAGTTCTCAGTCACTACGTTCTCGAAAACGGGCTTAAACTGTGCACGAACGGATTTGACGTACTACGAACCCACTAAGAACCGTTTGGGATCTGTTTACAAACTTCATGAAACTACTAGAACGAGTAGGTCCTCCAGCACTTAGAGCATGCTCAACATTTTCTGGTTATCATCAAAACGTTGCCGAATCGGTTTTAAACTGTGTGCGAACTGAATGAACGTAGCTACAACGTTCTACGGTCTGTTTACGAACTTCATGGACTTTCCCGGACGGGGTATGTGATTTAGAATTTTGAATCGATTCAAAATTCGATGGCGACCATACCGTTCTGTAATCAGGTCATGATGATCTTCTAGACTAAGGGACGGTTTATACTACGTTGCACACCGACGTGGTGCGACCTGAACGAACTGCGAACATGATGGACGTATTGAAGACTGTTTATGAACGAAGTAGCTAATTATTTTAGACATATATCCCGACCGCAGCCAGATCGAGCCAGTTTTACGACATTTTCGTAGGACTGGCAAGAACGGGTAAGAACTAGTTTGGTGTGATAGGGGGGTAAGTCGAAAATACACGTTCGTTTGTTCCATGAATACATGAATATGAATCGCACCATCTATGGCTGGCCGTCTGGACCAATATATCGTCATACCTTTAACGCCGTAAAATCTACTTTTAACGCCGTAAAATCTATACTTTTAACGCCGTAATAAATACTTTTAACGTTTAACGCAAAAAACGGTATGCTTTTTTACGCATGGTTAAAACTTAAAAGTAAGGACGTATAAAATCGTTTTTGACGCCGTTCAAAATGAATTTTTGACGGCGTTAAAAGTTATTTTTAACGGCGTATAAAATCGTTTTTGACGCCGTTCAAAATGAATTTTTGACGGCGTTAAAAGTAATTTTAACGGCGTATAAAATCTTTTATGACAGCGCTAACAGTAATTTTTAACGGCGTATGAAATCGTTTTTGACGGCGTTTAAAGTAATTTTAACGGCGTATGAAATCGTTTTTGACGGCGTATAAAATCGTTTTTTGCTCATATGTTTCATATATTCTGAAAATTCTTAAGTACGATCCAGAGATAAATATGTTCTATAGGAAATAACATAGTCACTATACTGTCTCCAGTGAATCTACAGTACTATGATTCTACAGTACTATATACATAGCTAAACTATATCACATACTCAATATTATGGACTCTGTGGATCAACTTGAACTTAAAGGGGTTTCATAAGCGGTTTTCACAAAATCAGTTGTTTCACAAAATCTGTTGTTTTTAGAGACTTTTCAACTTTATGTTTTTATGATTTCCATTAATTTTGCCTGTTGTTTTCATTTATTTATTTATTTTGTTTTCATGTCATCTGCAAGTCCATGCTGCTTAAACTATTACAGATTAATCCATTATAATTATTGATTTCTATCATAAGCAGTACATTGCAGTATCACAATCCGTATTGTCTTAGATCGTAATTGTTTAATCTGAGCTATCTTGGCTGGCAGGTGATGACTCTATTTGAGTTCCTGTTTGTCCTTGGGTCACACACACCCCTAGGGTTGTTGTCCCATGGCCAGGCCTCACCCCAGTGAATTTCATCCCTGGGGGCGGTGTAATTATTCTAGCATACGCTGGTTCTACTTTCTTCTTTGTGGATGGATCAGCGACTTGTTGTTGTCTTTTTGGAGATGAGAGTCCTGGCTGGAAAACAGATCAATGACATGTTATTGATATAGTACATGAAGGTACTGGAATCAGCCAAAATTGTTTAAATAGGCAGATATTTACATTTTAAGTTTTTTTTTACTTGAAAGTCATATGGCAGATTGAAAAAGACATTAACATCCAAAATGTCACCATCTACCATTTGTTACAGACGCCGACCGCAGAATTCAAAACGAATTGAAAAGTGATCAAAATCTCAGAAATAGACATTAATAATTACCTGACCAGCAGATGTTACTACAGGTGATCTTTGTGGTGAGGAATATGTCGGCTGCGTCAAGACAATAGTTTGAGAGGGCTTACCACCTGGCTGGGTCAAAACACGCTTCACAAACTGAACATTCTGACCTGGCTTGCCACCAATCTGGATAGGCTTGCCTCCAATCTGAATAGGCTTGCCACCAATCTGAATGGGCTTGCCTCCAAGTTGAATAGGTTTGCCACCAATCTGGATAGGCTTTCCACCAATCTGGATAGGCTTTCCTCCAATTTGAATGGGCTTTCCTCCTAATTGGATTGGTTTACCACTTATTTGCACGGGGTTTCCACCTCCTAAAAGAACAACATTATATGGCTAAAAAAAAATTCATATTGTGAAGTGCTGCAAAAATAGGTTAAAGACCAACATTTTAACAGTTTGAAAATGAAACACTTAAATGTGCAACCAGTTATGAGAAAACAAACCACCTTCCCAAAATACACTGTACATGCAGTACCTGCGATAAACTGCTGGGGCGTCATGACTCTAGTGGTTCCCCCTTGAGTTCCAGTTCCACTCTGTACAAAGTATTGGGTTGGGCCCCCAGATTGAGCGGTGTTCCCTGAAACAGTTGAAAATATACAATTTAAACTTTTTCCAGCTTTATGTTTTCATTTATTTCAATGCAAAGGCCTGTATTAAGACTGTTTAAAACTGTAAACTGTAACACTATTGGCTTAAAAAATAAAAGTGTGATATCATTTATGATTCAAATTGAATAAATTGGCTGGCACCATATGACTTGACTGTACATGTATTTAAATGCATGTTCAGTATATAACACGTCTAGCTTAGACTCTTGTGTCTACAATTGGAGTGTTCTCATAAAAGGCTCTGATAATATTGGAATAAAATAAAACAGTAAGCTGTTCATATTTTGAGATGTTTAATTTAGATAGATGTTTACATATACAGGTTTAATTGTAGTTATCTATTTCACCTCATAAAGGGTGGGGTGTACAAGGATCTATTTCATCAGATAAATCTTGAGGATCATCCATACCTGTGCTCTTTAGAGTGACATTTCCTTGGCCTGGTATTTGCGTCACCACAACCTTTCCTTGTGATGTCTGCAATACCTGGCCTGGTCCAATGACCTTTCCTTGTGATGTCTGTATCACTTGGCCAGGTACCTTGCCTTGTGATGCTTGGGGGTTTGTCGATGGTGATGATTTGGTTGTTGCACTTTGCTGGGATAATGTCGCCTGTTGCAAGATTTGACTCACCACACTGCTTGAAATGGTCAAACCTGAAAATAAAAAAAAAATATGCTGACAACTCCTTCATTTATAATTTTTTAGGGAAATCAAACTAGACAACAGCATCACCAAAGCTTAGCAAATACCATCGAACAGCCATGGCTGGCATTTTTACGAACAAAGTATATAGCAAAAATGGCAGCCATTTTTCAAAATGCTACAAGTGCCATCAGACAGTGTGCCATGCTTATAGTATTCACATATTACCAAATATGAACAGAATCACTCCACTTCTTTTCGAGTTATAGTAAAATAGGATAAAATTGAGGCCATTTTGAAAAATGGCCACCTTCTACCAAAAGTGTCTTAAGACAGTGTGCCATGCTTATAGTATGCATATACCAAATATGAATAAAATCGCTCCGCTACTTTCGAGTTATAGTAGAACATGTTTAAATATATTTCTACCAAAAGTGTCATTAGACAGTGTGCCATGCTTATAATATCTACATACCGAATATGAACAAAATCATGCCACTACTTTTCGAGTTATAATAAAATACATTAAAATGGCAGCCATTTTGAAAAATGGCCGCTTTCTTCTGAAAGTGTCATCAGACAGTGTGCCATGCTTATAGTATTCACATACAAAATATGAACAAAATAGCTCCTCCTTTTTTTTGAGTTACGGCAAAAATCTTAAAATAGCGAGTAAAGGCTACCATTATTCAAGATGGCTGCCAAGTACTTTTTTAAGATCTACATTTCTAGCTTTATTAATGTCCTATGTAATTATTTTTACATTTAACACAAATTGCCATTACAGTTTTATATATTGTACCTAAATTATTGTAAAATCGGCACTAAAATGGCCACCATTTTTTAATATGCGGCCAACTTGAAAATCAGCTTTTGAACAGAACTTCTACCCCCATAAAGTGTATGTTTACATAATATGAAGATAATAAATGACAGGATAGGTTTATGAAATATTCCTGCCTTCATATTATCTGCATTTTAAATTAATGTTAATGCTGTTATTTTCTAAATGCAAATTCGAGAGACAGAGTGGAGTCATCAAGGAATATAGAACACACGAAAGCAGTTTAAATGAATTTTATTCTGAGAGAAAATATGTTATATATGTATGTCAAAGAAGATCATATTTATTAAGGGTGATAGCTATATATTCCATCACTAACCCATTCATTCCATAGTTCTGATACATGATTTTAGCTGATATGGGACCAGATACTGGATTTTTTGAATATCAATTCTATTTCCTGTATATTTCCAAGTGAAACAGGTTATTCTGGAAAATGCAACTTTATCTCATAGCTTCATCTTTAAAAGTCTCTTCCATCATTTAAAGTTTTGAGAAAAGCTTGGAGGAAAGGTGTAGAAAAGCAAAACAGTAAAACTTGTCTAAGTGGAACACATTTGGTAATTTTAAAAAGTCCCAGGTGTTCATCTATCTCTAAGTCAGTTGGTCTTGAGACACTGAAAAGTGTCTGGTTGGATAAAGGGAAGACAGGCGGGTAGCCACTAACATACAGTAAAACCTGTCTAAGTGGAACCCCCCTTTACCTCTGTCCCACTTGGGAGGTGTTCCACTTATAGAGGTTCATTCAATATTAGGTTAGTTAGTCTTGGGACTCTGAAGTGTTCCACCAACTGAGAGGTTCCACTTTACAGGTTCCACTGTATGTTTCAACTTAAAAGTACATGTAGGTTGTTTAGGTTTCAGAAATAAAGTATATTATCAAGGTCACAGTGACACTTTATAATCAATCATCATGATATATGATACCTTACTTTTTAAGTGCATATTGAGATAAGTTAACGTACAGTAAAGTATGGTTTGTAAAGTAACACCCGTGCATAAGAAGTAAAAAGATCCTCATATTAATCTAACATGTCAAATATGTACACTTTTCCCGTTTTATTTTTACATTTATCCCATTGACTCCCATGTTGTGAGAATGTCTAAATAAGAACACTTGTAAATAAGAAGACTTATTGTGAGGGAGGTTTTAATGTGCATGTGTTTTATTTTTCAAAGCATACTATGCAGCGTTTTACATATACCGATGAATAATGCTGTATTCCACACAGTCAGGAATATAGAGGGGTATCATACAAGAATAGCTTACTTATAATACAAGAATAGTTGCTGTTCTAAACTAAGGTTTGTTTGAGAGTGACAAAGAATAAGTTAAAGTGATATTGACACAAAATACTACAATAGTTGGACATGGAAGATCCTCCATATTATTTAGATGAAATAGATCCGAATATTCCAGTTGAGGTGAGACTGAAACATAACCTCAGATGTAGTGCCTATAAAGGTAAATCTTATGTAATTTTTTGAGGCAATGCAATGTAATAACATGAAGCAATTCAATGAAATTTCATGAAGCAATGCAATTTCATAGGGCAATGCAATTTAATTTCATGAAGCAATGCAATGTTATTTCATGAGGCAATACAATTTCATTCCATTAAGCAATGCAATGTAGTTTCATAAGGCAATACAATTTTATTTCATAATGCAATGCAATATAATTTCATGAAGGAATATAACTTAATTTCATAAAGCAATACAATGCAATGTCATGAGGCAATTCAATTTACTTTCATGAAGCAATGCAATGTTATTTCATGAGGCAATAGTTTAATTTCATGAAGCAATGCAATGTAATGTCATGAGGAATACAGTTTAATTTCATTAAGCAAGGCAATCTAAAAATATGAGGCAATACAATTTAATTTTATAAAGCAATGCAATGTAATTTCATGAAGCAATACAATTTAATTTCATGAAGCAAGGCAAAATAATTAATTACATTCTGATTGGGTAGCTGGACTTGGATGGACCTATTTTTTTTGGAAATGGCTAAATGAGAGGATCATCTCTTTTCAAAGAGTGTAAATGAGCCTAAATTACTTTAAAGATGTACTACAATTAATTGCTTTAATTTGGTTGCTGCTTAATTTGGTGGAATGACCATCATAAATTGTATTTCTCACTAACATCTCTTCACTGATAGCAAAATTTCATCTTTCCTTGTATTAGATTGCATTGTCTGAATCAGCAGGGACTATGTAGATCTTCAGGTTTAGTTTAAAATTGACATTTATCGATGTATTTCCAGATTTTCATTTCCAAGTTTTATCATGGAAGGTACCAAATGGAAAAGGCACTGGATGAAAACCCAAGGGAATTTTTGAGGCAAATTAACACCCTAAAGATTGTTTGTCTTTTAGGTGAACTGTACCCGCTTTTCTGGCCAAGAACGTACTGGAAGATTGGTGATACAAAGGATAAAATCACATGGGCTGATTGGTTCAAACAATGGGAAACATTTGAGTTTCTTCCCGATGACATAATTCTGTCCTCATATCCTAAAGCAGGTACCTTTCAATCCTGATTACTTTAAAAACCTTAGATAAGATAAAATAATTTTAAGACAAATACTCAACATCACATTGTTCTTTAAAACTTACATAATATATTCATACAAGCTCTCATATGGTGATAACACATGTCTATGCATATTTGACCCGATACTCATACTATAGCAAAGTTGAAACTCGATCATAAATTATACTTTTCTAGAAAAAATGCAGTTCTGATAGCATTAAAGAAGATTATCAAATTACCAATTGATAATGGAATGGTTACTATTTTTCCAATCATTAGATTACAAATTGATAATGGAATGTATTTTTGCCATTATCAGATTACCAATTGATAATAGAATGGTCACTATTTTTCCCATTATCAGATTACCAATTGATAATGGAATGGTTACTATTTTTCACATTCATATGTGGATATCGACACTTTACTGAAGAGAGCAATACAAAATCAAAATAGTTCTATTGAATGGTATGACATGCCCTCAATTTTCTTTCAACATTTTTGTAAAGGTGTTAACTACATTTAAAATATTTTACAACTGCATTTAAAATTGTTTAGTCTAGGTCAAATGTCATATCATGTATGCGCATACTATAGAAATAAGTAAGTGTATCAGGGGTTTCATTAGAAATTCATACAATAGGCAAAATAAATGAAAACAACAGGCAAAACCCCTGGAAATAGTTGCAAAAATGAATCCCCTATAAAAAAAACATTTAGTTTTCAAAAAGATATCTTAAGTCATGTGCATAAGAAATAGCTTTACAGTCTGCTGTAAAATGTAATCTCCAAAGAGATAATAAACATTTTGCGATGGATTGCAGTGATTAAAACTTCGTACGTCAATATCTTTTTAGGACACCATTGGATGTTTGAAGCTTTGCACATGATTGTTAGTGGTGAAATTAAGAGTCAAAACTGTTCAAAAAGTCGAAATTTCATAGATGAACGGGAAATGGAGGAATTAAAAAGCCTACCTTCACCCAGAATCTTGTTGACTCACTTAAAGTACAAGGATATTCCAAAGGTATTGTAAAAGTATAATTCAATAAAAACATACATGTAGCTTGCAGTAAGTCTTGATTCTTTTTATGGACTTTTTATGTATCTTCCACAAAAAACATGATTTCTATAAATCTCAGTCCCTGATGCAAAATATATAAGCATTCCAATATTTCACATACTGGTCACTCTTCTCTACACAAGCAAATTCAAGAAGACTCCTCTACTTTTAAGAACCCACTGCTCATGTTGTTATATTTTCAGAGTTTATTTCAAACAGGCTGTAAAGTTCTCTACCTGTACAGAAACCCTAAGGATTCAGCTGTATCCTACATGCATCATATAAAGAATTTGGAAAATGCCTACAAATTCAAAGGAACCTGGGATGACTACTTTGAAATATTAATGGCTAATAAATGTAACTCAAGACTATGTATCCCGGGGGGGGGGGGGGGCAGGGGGGCAGGGGTTCGCAGGGTCTCAAGCAAGAATTAAGGCAAACTTTACATATTATCAAATAACAAAGCTTTAAGAGTTGCTTCAATGAATTACTTCCATGAGGTTTGGTAGTGTTCAAAAAGATTTGATTCTAGAATCAGAAATAGAGGGTGACATGACTAAATTGTAATACAATTTTTTAACTAATGTGTCTTCAATATCATTTCTAATGTAAGATCTGAAATAAGATCATAATAAAGTATCAAGTGGTAAATTTTATGACAGAATACTGTATTTTAATGTAACATTCTCTGATATGCCGAAACATTATTTGTATGATGCACAAAAATTAAAAATCTCTGAATTTTCTTCAATATGGTATGAACATTTTAGAAAGTAGCTATGGCAATTATGATGAGGGATACAAAGCTGTTAAATAAGACACAATTTGGGAAAAGTTGCTCTCTTCTTATTCTTGATAACATTTTACAAAGTCAAAGCTGTGATGAAGTTTATTTCATTCCATTTTGTAAGATTAAAATAAATTGTCTAGTTAATACCAATCGGTATAAGACTGTACTACATTTATTGCAAATAGCATAATACATGTACATGTATTTATGATACATGTACTTATGAAAACATATTATTTCAGTTGAATATGGCAGTTGGTTGGAAAATGTACCACAATGGTGGGAGAAAGAAAAGGACAATGAAAATGTTCTTTTCATGAGATATGAACAACTGAAAAAGGTAAACATTATATAATTGATAGTAAAGAAGTGTAACTGTTTATGGTGGTTTTCAGTTGTCAGCTCCCTGAAAGAAAATGTATTTTTGCTTCAAATACATATTAGGCATTTAATTGATTTATTTGTAAAAAGCCAGGTGACCAGGTAGTCTAAGGCAATAAAATTGTAAAATTGCATGTCAAAAACAAAAATGGTAAAAAAACAGTATGAAAAAAGTTTTACCAGGGTTATCATTATATGACTTAAGACAAGCACTTTTAAAACCGCATGAAATTTGTAAGGTTCTAATTCATAACCATGTGACTGGTTACAGAACTTCAAAGAAAACAGCAAACGCATAGCAGAGTTCCTAGGCAAGCAATATAAAGATGATTTCTACAATGAATTGGCAGTAGCTTGTGACTTCAGCACTATGCAAAACAACCCTAAGCTTGACATGGCAAACTTTAAGTCTAAAGATGTTAAACATGTATTCTTTAGAAAAGGTACACACTAATTAGCTTCTTGTCGATAGAGTAACACCTATGGAGCCACAAAAATGTGTTCACTGTAAAAATACAATTCTAAACAGAACGGGAGTATGTGCTAAAAAATGTTCACTGGACACATGTATTTACTAAAGAGAGGTGTTCACTAAGACAGGTGTTACTGTACTCTATTCTATAAACTCCATTAAGTCTCTAAAAAGAACTCTTCTCAGATGTTTCTCAATTCAACTAATATTTTCTGAGTGATTTATTTCATCTGTTATGATTCCCAAGAATTCAATGCGGTCAATGTATCCAATTTTAAAGATTTTCTGAATTGTAACTACAGCATATGCAAATGTATGCTAACTGGATTTAAGGTAAATGATTATTTAATAAATCATCAACTGCTTAGCACTCAGCTGCCTTGAAGCTGGTAACACCACCAAATGAAGACATAACTAATTTTAAACAACATACCATTGCCTGGGCTTTCAGAGAAAAACAATATTAGTTCAAAAGAAATCCTGCTTGAGGTAAATAGATGATGCCTAGCTAGGTGCATATACTAATCATCCTTCAATCAACATTACGATCTTGTATTTTCAGGACAAGTCGGAGACTGGAAGAATTACTTCACAGTTGCTCAAAGTGAGCAATTCGATGCCCTGTATAACAGTGTTATGAACAAACATAAAGACTTAATCGTGGAATTTGAATAACAAACAATGTTGCTTAAAATCTGTAAAGACAGTACGAAATTAACCTGGAAAAACATGAGAAACTTAAATGTTGCCCTTTGGAGCTGACATGCCTATTTCAACCTTTATAGCTTACCCTTACCCACTTGATATTGCAAACAAGAGAACTGTTGACAAAGATTGGAACTATAGCGCCTACCTTGGGTACTTGCTGTTGGCTGTGGCTGACCCTGGGCTAAAGCAGCTGCTAACAACTGAGACTGTTGACTGACAGGTGTACTGGGGCTAGCTCTTTGTGGGCTGCTGCTACTTTGCTGACTCTAAAAAACATTATGATTCAAAATATAAAAATTTGAATGGAATATGAAAAGGCGAACAATATTCATGTACATAAATATTTCAATAAAACCATATATCTGAATAAATTTCATCAAAACATCCCCTCCATTTAAAGATACTGCATTTTAATTCCAAATAATGTAAACAATATTGAATTTAGGGGCCCTTGCTATCCAACTGACAATTTTAACTTCATTACTAATTTACTACTACACACCTGTAGGATACTCATCGGTTTCCCAGTCAGTTGAATAGGTTTCCCTCCACTTATCAACACAGGTTTTCCTCCAATCATCGCCAATGGTTTCCCACCAATCATTGCCGGTTTCCCATTGATTAACACTGGTGTGCCCGGCTGATCACCTGTCTGGGTAACTATAGCAACAGGTTGACCTCCGAGCTGTATTTTCTGGGATCCAGCAGAAACTGGTTTTCCACCGCTTAAAATCGTCAGAGGCTGACCTTGGAATTTTCCCTGCTTTCCAACAGTTTTTTTCACCATGCTAGCTGGTTTTCCGCCTGACTGTAAGATCTGGGTGAGAGCTGTGGAAGTCAAGGGGGAGGAGAGACTCGTAACCTTGTCAACAGTGCCTGTTGTAACTGTGACAGACTTCTGCAGGGGCTGCATCATACCCCCTTGAATTTTGATTGTTGTTGTTCCTTGTTTCTGGGCTCCAGATATTGTGCTAGCCAGTACACTGCCCATAGAGAGAACCTGCTGTATGAAAACAAGGCATTAATGTCACCACCTGCTATTTGTTACAGACACCAAATGACAGAAATCAACCAATGGAACAGCAACTATGTCACCCCAAGAAAAAAAGTCACATCAATTCATCTTTCTAAAACAAAATACAACAAAAATACAGGAGTCATAAAAGACTCATGTCATGTCAGAGTGATCTGCACTAACATATGCCAGAATACAGCACATTTTTGCAAATAAGCACTGATTTATGAGTACATATTTTTAAAATATGAGTTTAACTCTGCTTGTTTACTTTACCTGTTGCTGTGGATTGGACATTTGTTGTACCAGCTTTGATGCAGTGGGCTTCGTTGCAGGTGTGACGTGTCTCAGATTTTGGGGTGCAGGACTTGATGATGGTGATTGGCTGGTCAACTGAGTCTTCATTTGGCTAAGCTGCAACATGACATAAAACATAAATTACTAATCTTATAACACGGCTATATATTTTACACAATTTTTAAGTTCAAATGAGTCATTAACTGTAATGCAATTAACCAAAAGGATTTGCTTTTCCTTGATTAAGACATAAACTAAGTGGGATGCATGAATATTTCCCCCAATTCATTGACCTATATTTTTCCTAGACTAAGTATCCAGGAACACTGGGTCTGTAAGAGACGTTCTTAATTTTTTCTTAATTCATGTACATGAAATAAAGTAGGCTGGTAGCGAAATGAATGATGTACAAAAGTGTAAAATATCAGGGAGTTATTTTTTAAAATGACAAAGATATGAGGAAAATGGTATTAGGGTTTCCATTTTTTGACCACCCTGTAATTGGAATATTTGCTTGAGCAGGATTGAGATAATGTACATAATGCTACTCATCACAATGGCACAACTTTTGGGATAATTTTTGTTTATGGCATATTCCCTCAGAAAATATGTTGCACTATTTTCTTCAATGGCAGTCACTGTTTGCATACTACTGACCTGCTGAGGGCTAGATTTCCCAGGCTGCTGAAACTGCTGTTTTTTGACTGCCTCCAACATTTCAGATACTTTCCTTGCTGGTTGTGAATGAACCAGATTAAATGTAACTGGTTGTGAACCAGTTAGTCCTGGCTGTGGACTAGGGATAGATTTGCCACCAGTTGTGCCCTGGGGCTGTACAAATGTGACAGCCATGCCTTTTGGTGTGGACTGGTTCATTAATGTAAGAAGGGCACTGGCTTGAGTGGTGCTTGGTACAACTGGTCTCGGACTGCTTTGTGGGGATCCAACACCTATAATGTTATAGTAACATTGTACAGTTGTTATGGCAACTATAGAAATTATTGATAATAAAGTAAGTTGGGACCATCAGGACTGTGACTGATTTTAGGTAACCATAGTTACTTATTGCATTTGTTGTTCAAACAACCCAAAGACATGAGTAAAGACTGAGATTTGAAAAAAAACATAATATGGGTCCCATGATGGCTTGGGCAATAGGCAACATAAATAGCCTATATTGCAGATACTAGTATTGCCAACTAGGAGAATACAACATAGGAAATACAGCATATATTACCTGTTTGAGTCAAGAGTTGGCTTGGACTTAGCACTGGGCTGGTCAGACTGGATACAGATCTAGGACTCGGATGGTTCTGGCCTTTGGGACTTGCTTGTGACCCTCTTGGGCTCATCTGGAGGATCTGGAAAATGGGGGGACTCATTTAGATGTACATATACATATATACATGACTGGATACAGATCTAGGACTTGGATGGTTCTGGCCTTTGGGACTTGCTTGTGACCCTCTTGGGCTCATCTGGAGGATCTGGAAAATGAGGGAATTCATTTAGATGTACATATACATATATACATGACTGGATACAGATCTAGGACTTGGATGGTTCTGGCCTTTGGGACTTGCTTGTGACCCTCTTGGGCTCATCTGGAGGATCTGGAAAATGGGGGAATTCATTTAGATGTACATATACATACATGTACTGTGCAATAAATATTTAATGATCAATTTATAATTACTTTTCATGAGATTGAATTCTTGCTTTAAAGTGTCAACTTGTACAGAATATATGTATTTGTGTTTAATTCATTGGGCATAAAATCTTTATGTCAGATTTGAGCACATTCTTTAAACAGTATGACCCTCACAAACTTTAGCACTATGGAATGATATAATGGGACAGTATACGAGGGGTGATCCAAAAGTCTTGGACGCCCTGCTCTAATTTTGTTGGTTTTTGACAAAATTACTTTAAACTTTCCAATAATAAAGACCAACAACCTAATTACTTTGTGTATTAGTTTCATGGTGAAATGATATATTTTATGTAGTTTTCTAGATAGTTATCAATATAGGGACCCTGCCACCCGGAACAGTATTCACATATGGCAACTTTCAGCCTTAAATGTTGCTGCTATTTGACTTGTTTTGCAAGTCTTGACCACTATCTTTCCTTAAATTTTGAATGTCAAACCATGTTAGTTTACTTCCTTTGTTACTAGGCAACCAATTATTTGTGTTTTAATTTCAATGTCACATATGACAATGGCCGTATATGTCAAGTACTAAGAAAATGACATCAGTCAATCAACCCTCATTCTGGTATCATTTTCGCTCCAAGGTGGCTGCTGAAATGCAGAAAATGAAAGAAATCAAAGTGGAACAAAGAATTCTACAATATATTGTCACTATTATTGACCTTGAGCAGCTACCATATGCACGATACAGTCTAGATATGGCTCTGTGTGATTTTCTTCCTTTTCTCCAAGTCTAAAGGAGGGTTGAAAGAAAATGTTTTTTGACTCATCGGATGAGAATAGAGTGGCACTCGAGCAGCATTTGTATCACATAAGCAATGGCGCTTTCATAAATGTCTTTCATTCATTGGTAAAGCGGTGTGAAAAATGTGTTCGATTTCGTGAAAAATATGTTGAAAAGTAGGTCTTAATATGTGAAGATGATAATGGCAGATGACTCTCAGACTGAAAATCGGAAATTTTCTCATATCATGACTGGTGTTAGGTTTTGCACCTGCACCTAAAGTATTTGCCATATTATAACACTTGTGACGTGATTTGCTATATTTAAATACCGTTCCGGGTGGCAGGGACCCGGTATTAAAAAGTATTCAGAAAAGTAGCTAAATTTTATTATTTTCTGTTGACACTTATACACAAAGTTGTTAAGATGTTGATCATTATTATCTGAAAGTTTCATGTAATTATATTAGAAAATAGCAAAGTTAAAGCGGGGCGTCCAAGACTTTTGGATCACCCCTCGTATATTATTGGCAAGCAACAAATATATAGAACATTATATGCCAACGATTTGCTGAATACTTTCATGTATCCATACCTTCGCACTCTGACCCAGCATCATGGACTTTGGGCTTTGGGCAGTTCTGACTGGACTCCCAACATCCATTATATTGATACTGTCATTACTTGCGCTACTGAGGGCAGATTCAGGCCTTGGAGTCTGAGTGATGGTCAGTGATCCAGGGGGTACTGGGCTTTCCTTGGCAGCTTTCTGCAAGTTGAACAAATTCAAATAATCCGACTATATCATAATTCAAATGTTTACACTGCCTGTATGTTTACTTGTAAAATGCAAAATAAGCATTTTAAAAAAAATCCAAAAGATCAAAACATATAATAGTAAAGCTTCAAGCATTGAATTCACTCGACTTGTGGGCAAACTGCATTTCATGAAGAACTAATGTACATATATTAACATTTCCAAAGTTGAGAGATAAAAAAATATATTAACAATTAGAATAATTTCAAACCTGCTTGGGTAATTTTGGTTTCTGAAGAGATTTCTTGGCTTTGGCAAATGCTCCATGTGCTTGGTGAATACGCTCTGCAATAAATCAGCTATAATATCATAATGATCAGGTGCAAATATAGAAAAAATAAACAATGCCCAGTAAACAATATAAACCCAAAGAATCAATTAACAAAGATACCTTTTATTCTTTTATTTTTAGCTAATGTGTTCAAACTTCGTAAATTCAGATGATTTTAGAGAAGTTCATATTAATATTTTCCCATCATTTTAATTAAGTTCTGGACTCATTTAGAGTCGAAGCCTCATTTTGTCCTAACAAGTGAGAAGTGAAGTAGTTTAGGGATGGGATCCTAATGACACTTGTCATGGAATAATGAAGTTAATTTTGTTAGATGGGAGGGGATTTTATCCCTGATTGAAGAATATTGATTATTTCAAAATTGTCAGTTTGTTATTTGGGGAGTGGGGGGAGGAGGTTAACCATAATTAAATTAACTTATTTTATCCACAACTGCCAACAATTGAAAACACTCTCTCACCAAATTCATCCTCAGATCTGTTCCTATGGAGATATATCCAGACTTTTCTATTGACATCATACTTCACGCAAGGGTCTTTCTCATAATGTAATCTATCTAGGGCCCCACTAACAACTGTATTTATCTGAAACAATAATCATTATGGAATTAGGTATGATATGGAACGTTGTGAGCAAAACTTTACAAAATTGTGACAATTTTTGGGAAAATTACTTTCAGGTCTCCTCAAATCAATGTTGCACCTATAAGTCACTAGAAGAGAAGTCTTTTGGTTTTACTTGGGAAAACAGAAACTGCTCATAATCCTTGCAGTATGGATAAATGGCAATATCATTTATTCCAATCAATAAGGTCAATACTAAAGTAGAGCTCCTAGTAAGAACTACCTGGGAATCGGTCACAATGGAGGACAGGAACTTGGAGTCTTTAAGAAGTTCACAAATATCAGCCCTAGTACCTTCACCATTAGGGAGCCTAGCTGCTGCATCCCGAACTAAAATCAATCACATTTATATTTAACTCATTTTAATCATATTAATCCACTGATTTACCAAATATCATTTTTTTCTCAATTCATCATAATAAAACGTTATTACGATGGTAGAGGACTCCCCTGTGGGTGTACCATTTTCCCTATAAATTATTCTTTCATATATACAGATATATCATTAAAGCTGTTGGTAACAAATTTTATAAAATATCACCACCTGGCTGTACAAAGTATTACAAGACTGATACCAGATGTTGCAAAATTAGAAAAGTGTAACATTTTGTAACAATATATTACCACTTCTTGGTTTTAACGCAATAAACCAATGAAACACAAAAGTGTAACAATAAACTTCTTGGCGGTGACACAGAATCTATAAAACATGAGATTAAATACCTAGGGTAAGTATGGTGACATATGCAGGTCTATCCTTGACTAACAATGCATGTTCCCTGGCCTTTGTCATGCTACTCTCCTTTGCATATACTCCTGGAATACACATAAAACATGAATTTTAAAATACAAGCCTTAAACATCCTTTCTCAGATTCTTTTGAAAGGAAGAAGAAGGGACAGGGACAAGTTGAGAATAAGGTTTAAAAAAAATTGTAATAACTCAAGAATATCTTACGCTCACATTATTTCACGTGATGCCTATTTTCTAACAAGGCACATAAAAGACATTAGCTCCAAAGAGTATACTAACCTTTAACTGGTCCAACTACACAGTCATAACCATGTACCCGGTAGGTAAATGCTCTGTGGGGAGTGTCGAACCTTTTAACTTCTTGGGCTTGAAAAATGAGTTTATCCTCTCTGGATGATGGTTGGACAGTGTACGATGTCTTACTAAAAACAGAAGAATTCTTAGCTAGGAACTTGCATGGAGAATTCACAAAATTGACAATATATTAAATTTTGCTTGTTATCATCTTAAATCAAGAATTGAATTCCGATAAAGTGAAAATTGTTAATATATTCAAAGCTTTAAATAATTGTAAAGCTAATACTGAGGTGCCCAATGACATTGACCTTTTTATGCCGTCACAAAGAAATGCTGACATATTGTTAAAGACAACATGCTTTTGACTGGCATTCAACGTTTGATATTTTGCATCATTGTCTGTAACTAACTGCTACACTTTTTGATCATAACCCCCAAAAACAATGGTAAAACTAATGTACGCAAATATGGTTTCCCTGTTTGTAGCGTGTTATCTTCTAGATTGCTTTGACTATTTCAAATTGTACAAAGTTGTTAACATGTGTTATACCTTCTTGCAGGAGGTACTGCAGTCACACTGTTATCTGCTTCATCTTGGCCTGCTTCAGGATTGGTCTCTAACCAACGATGGAAATACTGGTCCATATCATCATCATGGTCGCGACCTTGACCTATCCACTTCCACTGCTGCGCTCTTTCCTTGTAGTCTATGAACGGGATGAAATTCTCGATGCTTGTGCCTAAAACGTTTATAATGAAACATGATTTTCCACAAAACACATGATGCTGGATAACTTTTTTGTCTGCATGATATCTGAATTGTTCTTTAGCACTTTAAAACTACGCTCCATGGGGCAGCTCCACAAGAAGTTTCAGATGACTAGCCCAACAAGATGCACTTTTATAAGAAAATACAAGACTTGCTCTAAATGATCGAAAGACATGCAATCTTGTAAAACCCGATTATATAAATTGGTAACCTTTATTGAAGCAATATTCAACTTAACACACTCTGAGACAAATGGCCACTTTAATGGTATCTCATATTCTTAGTTTACACTAATATGAGGCCAATGTCAGCAAAAAATGTAAAAATGTTCCCCTATGTATATAATTATGCTAGTGTTCATCCACTCAGGTACTAATTTGGTCCTTGTTATACTGTTAATAAAATGTTGCTTACCTAAGACATCCCCAGAGAGAAACTTTAATGCAGGTTGTACAAGTTCAGTCCAGTTGTCATGGAGACTATACCAGTCATTAGCAACGCTAGCAGGGTTGTCTTGCCACTCTCTAACACTCTCCTCAACCTAAAACACAATTATGCAGGTTGTCACAAGACATTTCTTCAAGACATTTTATTCCCTCAACAACTTATCCCTAAACACTTAGTAGGTTATAATAATTACACCAATAGCATCAAAGATATTACAGAATACATTTATTATACCGAAAGAATCAAAGGTATTGAAGAATTTTATGTTTTTTGATTTCATCATTTATCATATCTTAAGAAACAGGCCTCAGTTGATCCAATCCTTAAATAGGTCTCTGAATATCAACCTACCTTGATGGTGGTGACCTTTGCCTCTGGGAACCCACATATTGTGTCACGTAGCAGGGTAAAGAAACTGCTCTTCTCATTAGACAAGCCTTCTCCCATAGATGTATGTCTGCAATATTTTATTAAAAAATTGTTTGGCATATTTCATCATTACAGCCTCTTAATACCACTCATTCTTCAAGTGATTTATATGAGTGACATCAAAAAGATGTCCCCTACCAAAACAAAAGTTACCATATTTTGCACTTAATACGTGGATATAAAATATTAATTTGGGTTACTATTTCATATCTGTGAAAATTTCAAACAAAATGGCAAACCCTTAATATAAGAAGCTATTGATCGACTTGGAACATCATCCCAAGAATACTTAGTCAAAGTCCTTTCAAGACTGCAATTTGAAAATCATCAATTCCACTTGGTCACCATCCATTTCAAATCAGGAATAACTCTTATAGCAAAACAAAACTCTGAGCATGGGCTACAACTGTAAGAAGATTGTTGAATTAAAGACCAATTTTTATCCTACAGGCCTAATGACTACCATTTACTTCTATCAGGGAGTCATTATAGCAAATAGCATGTTTACTCAAATGAAAGAATTGATAGGATAACTTACGTTGCAAATTCACTTCCTACATCCAATGTTTCTTCCTTAATATCCATAGGGATGTTTTCGTTGTACCATGCCTGGTTCTCATTGGTTGAAAGCAGTGATACCATCGGTACTTCAGGCTCATCTTTGATTATTTTGATCTTCTTCTTTTTTGGTTGTTTTGTTTTTGTCTTTGATTTTGACAGGGAAGTTTCAAATAGTGAGACTAGAAACAAAAAAATAATGCAATCTTCATAAAACCAATGCCAAAAATTTCAATTTTCAAATTTTTGCGTGAATGATTTAAAAAACCTACAATGCTGAACAAAAATGTACATCTGAATTTACTCTTCAGTGGCTCTTTAGATGTTTTAAAGTGAAGCGTTGCGTGAAGAAAGAATATATAAAATAAACAATTAAACAATTAAACTCTCACTTTAACCACCGATAATGACGTCCACTTCGCTAGTGGACTTTTACATAGATCCAGTTAAATCAGAAAATCAAACTTCTTTGTCTACAAATCAAACTTCTTTGTCAACTATTACATATACGCCATCTATCTGACCAAAACAATGACTGCTATCTACTTATCCATCTATATAGCAGTCAAAAACTATGCATTCTAAATCTCACTCACCAGAGGCAGAGGGTTTAATGTTAGACTTCTTAGCTGGCTGAATACGAGCAATAACATCTTCAATTGTTATACCCCTGGTTTCTAGGTCAGGTCCCTCCTAGGAAATACAAATTCACAAATATAATGTATAATCCCCTCCACACATTTTGTATGTTTACCAAATGTGAAAGTTACGAAATGTGACGGAAACGAATTGGTATGGTCTTTTTAAAGCTTGTTTCCATCATTTACTGTCCCTATTCTTTGTGGCCACTTTAGTTTAATAATAACTACTTCACTAAAAGTTATATTTGAAAAATTACCTCTCCCTCTAAACGTCTTTTCCTATGGTTCCGTAACTGTTCAATCAAGTAATTGTCATCCAGAACTGGGGGAGTGTAAGCTCGATCCCTTCCTGCATCAACTAAATAAAACATTTTTAAACAATAATGCAATACTATTTCAGATTCCTTTCAAATAATAATCGATGGTGTGATTTTTGATGTAGGAAATTATCGCTAACTACAAAATGTCTTCTTGATTCACAACTTCAATGAACTCTTCAAAAAATTAATAAAAACTTGGCATCAATGGCATGCAGGGTTTCATAATGCCGCATGGTGGAATCTAGTCAGATTTAAAGTGGATAGTACGTGCTATTGGTTTTAATTAGCCAAACTGGTCACTCTACCTGACCTTCCTCAAATTAAAGTGGCATTACTTCATGTATGTTTTCATACCTGATGATTCCCCATTGGTAAGTGGTCTGATCGCAAAGGTTGACTGGACATTTGTTGTTTGTTTTTCTGAGGGCTTAGTGTTGAGTAATGATCGCACCAGTGTTTTCCTGGATCTGTCTAAATGAGATTCTCCATCTAGAAGTAAAAATGGGCATCTGTGTTTCCCTGTTTGATAAATACATGCATATTAATAATGACTCAAGAAGATGAGTTATTGAGCCATTTCGGAAAATAAATATTGGCAGCTCAAAGTAGATTTTAAAGTCAGTTTTAAATTTTAACAAAACATAGCAATATTAAGGTGAAATCAGTAGCCAAGAGAGGCTATTTAATCAAGTTATATCAAAAAAATATCTTTAACATTACATACATAAATTGTATAAACAGGTAATAATTGTCCTACCATCTTCATCTGAAGAGTCTTCTTGTATATTACATTCATCTTGGACCTCCCTCATCACTCTGCAAGAGAAAATATGTCAGTAGAATATGAACATATACAGTGAAACCTGTGTAGGTTGAACCCCTTTGCGACATCAAATTAATGTTCCACTCGGGAGGTGTTCCACTTTCAAAAGCTCATTTATATTGTTAAAAGGCAACTAGACTGTGAAAAGATGTAAGACCATGAAGAACAAGTAAAATAAAAGCCCTGTCTCTATGAAAAGATGGATGTTACTTTGAAAAGTATGGAGGAGTTCCGCTTTGTGCAGATTTGAATTATTTTTAGATTATTTTTAATTTTTTAATTGAAACCACAAATAACAAAAGTTCAGTATTTTTAAACTTTGTATTAATATCTTAATAATCCATATCTCTCATTTCAAGAATGAATCCAATTAGATGTTAAACGTGATTCAATGTTATAATATATACCTTGCAAATGTCATATCTGCCCTGTGTTGTATTGTATGTTCATGAGCAGCTGGGGTTGGTTTGAGACATGTCACCTTTATTGGAACATCTGGGGGCATTTTATACACTTGTTCAAGTATATGCTGGAAATACAACGATAAAATAATAAAAATTATAAGATCAATAAAAATCAATAAATTAATGAGGTTCAGTTAGGTATCCAGGCTAAATTATCAGTGATCAATTACTTCAGCATGCATGTATTTTTCACTAGTCATTTAAATACAGAAAAGCTTCCAAAATGTGCTACAAAATGAGCGAAAAATATCCGTAGTGGAATATACCTTAAGCACCTCTAAATAGTATTCCACTTGGGAGGTAACTTCCTTTTTCAGAAGTTCATCTAATATGAAATCAATGACATTGCTTTTAGAATACTTTTCACTTGTTTTTCCCTTTACTGTACATACCTGCCTATTGACAATGACCTCCTTTAAGAGATCAGAATAATATCTCTGCTGCTGTAGTCTATAGTCTCTAATCTTGGCTTTGCGGCACATTACTGTATATTTTGCAATATCTGGAGAGTACGTCCCATCTACAATAGAAAAAATTACCATTATGAAAACACATTGACACAAGGGGAGGGTCAACTTTTAAGATATCTAAAGTGAACTGTCTATAATATTCAAAGTTAAATTTATTAAGTATAATTGTAAACACTGTAAAAAAGGCTGTGCACATGGGTTTATATCAACAAGAGCAACATAAAATTCAACTTTTTTCAAACTTGAAGGTTTAAACCTTAAATTACAAAAAATCCCCCAAAAATTTAATTTTAAGGATCCAATAAGCATAATCTTTCTTCAAAATATAGTGAAGTGTTTTGCTAAATAAATACCTTTAAGATTTCCATGGAAGAGTCGGATGGGATTCCCAAACTTGAAATTCTTCCCAGTAAACAACCTCCTGCAATGAAGTCATTCATCATCATTAATCGACTAGGGAATCAAATATTCTTTTAGTGTATAACATGAAAGATTCTTCAATGATATGAGTTCCATATCCCCATTGGCTATAACCACAATACCCTCTAATTTATAGATAATTTTACATATTTTAAGCTCAAATTAGATCTTTACAATTACAAATGTAGCTTTGTGTATGTTTTCTTTCATTAACTGGAGTTTAAATGTAAAGAAATGTTAGCTTCCAATAACTGCAGTGATTCTCTGACATAATATTCTGACTGGATAAAGGCTAAATTGTCAGTAATTTGAAGAGTTAAGATATTAATCAAGCTCTTGCTAAAGGTAAGAGCACGGACGTCGAGTAAGTTTCTGGCGAAAGCTGGAGCACAGATTATAAAGAGGACTGGAAACAAGATGGCAGTCTATTTCAAATCTGCCAACTCGTGTTGGCCTATTTATCACTATTGACTCAGTTGTTCATCTAGTTTTACTTTCCTTAGATGCTTAGTAATATATTTAAAGTATAATATTGTTTCCAAAATTATTGTCATGTGCGATAATTAGTACTAAAAGTACTTTGAACAGGTCAGCTGCCATTTGCTTGGCTGAATCGTCCAGTCCACAAAAACAGTGAAATCATATTAAAAATACCAATAAAACTTTAAAATTGAGGCAGATGCAATACAAAGAGACTCTATTAATACAGATATACAGGTTACAGTCACCAAGATGAGCTAATTTCAGGCGAGATTCGGGAAATAATCTATGCTCCGGCTTTCGCCAGAACCTTACTTGACGTCCGTGGGTAAGAGGTATTACAACTTACTTCAATGTTTCTTGTTTTTCACGTTGATCAGTTGTCCCTTTTGAAAAGGTTGGGAGAAATTTCTGTAAAAAATCAAGTTATTCATTCAGGGGTTTCAATGGGGGTATTTTTCAGTTGTTTTTACCAAAATCATTATGTTATGTTATATTGAGGAATTTGGCTACTGACTAATGAATTCAAATCATTTGAATAAAAATATATTATATATGGTCTCAGTTGCCAGTTCCTCCTTTGACTCATATTTTCATTTAAATTTATATATCAGGTTGGCTAAGTAGAATAAATAACATGACAAATTAACAGTTTACAATTACATGTACATTTATGCTGATGTCAGATCCAAAAGTTGAAGCATCTGACCCACCTTAAGAATTAAGATTGCATATCTATTAAGCACTACTGTATATGAAAGTGTTTCAGTAATTGCCCCTTTAAGCAAGCAGATGAGCTCCTTGTAATCTTATCCAAGTACAGAATGGACCAGACACAGGGTTACACACACCATATTTTGAACATGTCATTTAATTTAGACAGTAATGTTGATTATTAAATTGGCACTGACTGTTCCAGCATTAGATATAGAACACATACCATCAGGTGTTTTCGTTGGCCATCGTTGAGGACTTTTTCCCAGGTTTTTAGGCTGACCACTTCCTCCAAAACATCCAACTGAAAAAATTGTATTATAACTTAACACTATAATTACAACCATAGAATTACATCTAGTAGCACTAACCACTAGAATTGGATTGATTTTTTTTATTCTACCAAATGAGAAATATATTAATTCGATTTTTAAGACAACCAAAAATTAATTTCTAAGAAAATAGCTGAATGAATAAATAATTATTTGAGCAAAGTTACTAAGCATTATTATTCAAACACTTTTACAGTACAACCTAAGTTCAGCTCAGAGCCGACTTAAACTTCAAAGATTTAAAAAATACTTACATTTTCAATAATCGCTTCAGGCAAAAGGAGCTCCTCCCTTCCCAGAACACATGTCTCCATGATGAACAGTTATCCCTACTCTAGTTTATCTTTCAGTCATACAAATCTTAATTGTATCTCAGGTTTTGCATAACAGCATGATTTTAAAAACCTGAAGTCTGGAAGTGTTTTGTTGTTTGAAGTTCCACTGAAATTATATCAAATTTTAAATGGACATGTGGTTATTTAAATTTCTATTTTGCAATTGTATCATTGGTGGATGGATATAAAAACATTAACATTATCTTGAAAGGATTACATCGTTGTGCACAAAATAAGGAACAAGTTGTAATTTGTGAAAGGTAACCTAGCCTGTAAATGCAACTACAGTATGGGGTATTTAAAAAATGAATGAATGTAACAAATAAAAACTTGCAAGTGACAATTTTGACCATTGATCTGACTGACGAGGGTTTTGAAATTGAATTTGTTCTGAATGTTAATGAATTCAAGTAAAGGTGCCTTATTCTAACCAGTAATCAAACAATGAAACATAACAGACCATTTGTTGCATCAATTGCTTTGACTGACTAAGGAATGAATCTGACAAGATATGACAAGTAAAAGACTATTCTCAGTTTGGAGAAAGAAGTACATCGCTCTAATTGATGATTTGCGATCACCGAATGGATTCTATCTTGTAGTGACGTCACAATTAGGCCACCCAGCTCTAGATGTTTGGTTTTGAGAGATTATCTTCTATATTTCGTGCTTTATTGATTTATTTTTCATGAAAACGTTCGATTTGACTAGATTAACATCCATACTAAGCACATACCAAGTCTAAGATCTTACTGACATGATTTAGATAACGGTTAAGCGCCCCCCGATTTTGACAAATACTTATGCGCTTATAGGCATCGATGTTTAGTATGAATTTCACCCAAACATCTCACATATATAGAAATAATCATGATCTAGTCAAATCGGCATATCTGGTAAATATCCGACCCATGGATTTCATAAAAGAAACGACAATATTTTTAGCTCAAAACTGCCAAGTGTCCATCATTTCGTGATTCCATCATGTCTAATATCATTTCTATATGACGTCACACCAATAAGACGAAATACATGACAACAGTATCCATAAACAAAATTCCCGAATTCTGATCGCAAAAGGTCAATTGAGCGTTACCCCTGCTTCAGACAAATTAGATTTCATAATATAGATTTGAATGTCTTCTTTTGAATAGTCATAATTTAATTTGGGTGATATTTACATAAAAAAGTTTTAGCCTAGGAAAATGTGACAAACAACAATTTCTAAATTTTCATAAAAAAATATTAGCGCAGTACACTGATGAACTTTTTCCCCAAATCGAGACTTGTATTTTATTGAATCGGTCTAATTGAGCGTTATCCCTATATTTTTCATTAAAAAAAATTATAAGTCCAGGAGACTGTTCTACAAACCGAGACTTGTTCTTTTAATGTGACAAACGACAATTTTAGTATTTTAAAAGTGACTAAAGCAACCTCACTACCCCCTCTTGGGGAGCCCTCTCTCGCCTATACTGGTGCTGGTTACAGTTACAGAGTTCAGAGAAGACAAAATATGTGTATCATGTATTACTTACAAGATTACGTTGCTGATTGGTAAGATCGACACACAAATGACAGCATTCAATGCCTGTTTCAAAATTTTCAAAAAATGCTTCAAATAATATAATTTCAATACATGTATCTGGCGTTTAAACCAATATCATAGCACTTTATTTCGCACCAAGATAGGTCTCAAGAAAGATATTAGGAATATGCTTACAGTTCAAAACAGATACCGGTACAAAAGACTTCAAAGCAAATGAGTGACATGTACTGAATTCCCATGAAATTTCTGTACGAAATGTGTTCGTTTTTCTTCAGCGTTCATTTTTTTGATATATCGGCAATCATTTTTTTAAGTTCTTCTACAGAAATATTTTTGCTTAACAATTATCAGGTAAATTCAATTTCTTCAACATAATGCGTGACAAATATAGAAATTGTTGGACAGTTGGACGGCCTAAAATAAGTAAGCAAGGGACGTAATTTTGTCTGTCATCTCTAAGCTCTGGGGTTTTTCATACCTCTTTAATATATCTGCACAGCAACAATCATTACAGTGAACAACAACAAAAATCTGGTCGAAAATAAATCAGAAACTTGAAGATATTTTTGTGAAAATTCAACTGAAACCGAGAATCCACAGTATTTGAAAAACTTTACTGCAACAAAATCTTAGATGATTATCATGTAAATAGGTCTGTAAACATACATTCTAAGCTAATATTTCAAAGAAAGTTGAATATTTCTTACCTGCCCGGAAGTCAGTTGAGGCTTCTCATGACACGCCCTGTAAAAGTTTATGGACTATTATATATTTGATAATATATGATAGCTTCAATCAAGTTGAGCCATCTCTAGTGACACAATATAAATTCTGTTACATAATTAGTAGTACTTTTGAATTTTGACAAAGTATGATTGGCATTTGATCAGTTTTTCGTGTGGGTGGTGTATCAAAAAGTTTGGCATTTGGACAAGGAAGCCGGAAGTGACATTTGGAAAAATGGGTTTCAAATTTATTTTTCTTGTTTTGGTTCATTTAGGTAAGTAGATGTCAATATATAGACTGTTTTAGTATATTAAGCAATAATTGTAAAAGTACTTAACATTTTTCGAAGAATCGATTGCCTAAAATAGATACATTTCTCTATGAAAAGAGGGTATAAAAATGACAACTTTTTTGATGAATGTTCAACTTCAAGTTGTCAATTTCCTTTCCGGGAATCCCCTGTATAAAATGCTACAAGTTACTTCCTGCGAAAGCTATTTGGATTTTGATATAATAGCTTTCCCACGGAGCATTTGGACAGCTCAATGATCGTGACCTTTGAAATCGAATTAAGTCGATCCGCGGCTTACTTTTGGTCTCTAACTGTGCCTTACATCAGTATCATCAATCCGTGTAAGTATTGGAGCGCTGGAGTACTTCTTTTTCGATCAAGACTTGTAATTGTTAGTCCAGTGAATCGTTTTACTGCCAAATTCCAATATGGCGGTTTCTGCTCGGACATTTTCGTAAATCTCCGGAGGTTCCCAGAATGCAACACCGATATTCTGCAAAACAATCACCTAGCGATAGCTTTGTTGGAGAGTATCGGGTCATTCTCCATGCAGTCGTACAAATTATACAGACACGAATAGCAAATGACGCATGCGTGGAGATTAAAGAATATCGAGTTGGAACCCTGGCTTCCAATCCTCCTTGGAGGTTGTCCGAACCTAACTAATTCTCAAAATTCATTTCGTTCGTTGCGTATCTCGCACCTAGCAAACCGCCATATTGGAAATAGGTCTGTAAAACTTTAACTCGATGAACAATTTACAAGTCTTGATCGAAAAAGAAGTACTCCAGCGCTCCAATACTTACACGGATTGATGATACTGATGTAAGACACAGTTAGAGACCAAAAGTAAGCCGCGGATCGACTTAATTCAATTTCAAAGGTCACTATTGATCAGCTGTTCACTTCTCGTTTGAGAGCCATAAGTTTCAAAATCTAACATGGCTCTCGAAGTGAGTAAGCTACAAGATAAACAGAATGACTCATGAAATTACACTACCCACTTATTCATCAATTTTGTACATTATAATAGATCATCCTGGTCATAAAAATCACTGTACATTTTTATGTCTACTTTTACTTTCTAAATCTGAAAATGATAAATTATTGTTGACACACCCAACATATGTCACATTATATTTTAGAGGAAGGGTCTAACCAATTATCCCGGTGATAAGGGGTATAAAGATTTTTTATGTTTCCCAAAAGTTGATTGTTATGACCCTGGATAGCAAGTACTATAGCTCAACTGTGGTGGCTAGCCCTTATGGCTCAGTCTTACTCACTTCGAGAGCCATGTTAGGTTTTGAAACTTATGGCTCTCAAACTGGGAAGTGGACAGCTGATCAATACTCAATAGTGACCTTTGAAATCGAATTAAGTCGATCAGCGGCCTACTTTTGTTATCTAACTATGTTATACATCATTATCATCCTTCCGTGCAAGTATTGGAGTGCTGAATTACTTCCTTTTCGATCAAGACTTGTAATTGATAGTCGAGTGAATGTTTTTACTGCCATATTCCAATATGGCGTTTTCTGCTCGGACATTTCCGTGAATCTCCGGAGGTTGTTTGAACCTAACTCATTCTCAAAATTCATTTCGTTCGTTTCGTATCTCGCTCCTAGCAAACTGCCATATTGGAAATGGGTCGAAAAAACATTCACTCGATGAACAGTTTAAGCTCAGTCTTTAGTGCATCAGACTTTGGAGTGGAAAGTCAAAGATTTGATTCCCGCGAGGGGCACTGAGTTTAGCAGATTCACTTTTTCTATCTGTATCTGACTTAAGTTATTATACTTCAGCTCTCCAGAGGCGCCCTCAGATGTAGGATTCGCCCTTGTGTATACTGTATTCATCTTTATTTTGGTGCTACTAAAATTGGCAATGTTTGTTACGTGGAATATGGCATACATTCATGGTTGCGTGGTATTCTGCAGTGGATATGCGATACATTGATTTCAGTGAATTCCCGATACTCACCTGCGGAATATGTCATACTCACTTGCGGAATATGCCATATACCGCAGATGAATATGACATATACCGCAGGTGAAAACGTGATACGGAAAGCCTTGATTTGATTGGTTGTGAGAATCGACTCTTAATGTTAAACTACGCTGGATTACCAATATTGTTAGTGCGTTGAGTACTAATATATGAATCCTGGATTGATTGACTAAGTTTATGATGTAACGACGCTGGATAGCAAGTTGCTTCTACAGCTCAGTTGTGGTGGCTAGCCTTTATACGTACATGTACACTTAGTTCAATCATTAGAGCATCAGACTTTCGAGCCAAGTTCCTGTGCGGGATTCCCATTTCCACATTCAGGACACTCCTTTTTATGTCTGTATCTGGCTTGTTACACTACAGCTTCCAGGTCATTACACTTCTAAATTTTGCCATAAAACAAAGAGGCACTTACTTATCTTACTTATCCCACTATTGGTAATTTTCAACAATATCTAAGTCACCATCACATGTTCATTATCTATAATTTTTAAAGCTGACAAAGGCTGATCCAGATAAGTATACATAGTTTTTTTATTCAGGTGCAGTATATGGTGATAGAACTAAACAAAGGATATATGTTGATGTCAATGGTATAGGTGCCTGCTTTAGGAGAATGAATGGAACACATCAGATTGGATGCACATGTAAGTATGAAAAAGAACATGTTCAGTCCAATATTCAGGGGCCTAAGCCTAGATCCAAATATAACTGAAGCAAGACTTTAAGCCAAAAATGACATATTGACTCTCCCTCAAATTTAAAAGTATCAAAATCTGAATCTTACATTGTGTACATCTTTAGTGAGTAACATTTTAAAGAACAACAAAAAATTTAAATTCAGAAATTTGTTTTAGACCTAAAACTGTTCACCTCATTGAGGTTTAACTGTAGCCAATCAAAGAAAGCATAACTGAACACCTACTGGATTGAGTCAATTGTGTTCTTTGTTATCACATTCCCTTTCGTTTTTTCAACTTGCACATTAGTCCCAGGTATTTAACAAACCGTTGATTGTAAAAATTATCTGAAATAAATCAATTCAGAGAAGATGCTCCTATGAACAAGAAATAAATAAGAGATTAAGCCTAAATACTGAACCTCTCTAACAATAAGATTTGATATTCATGGAGTACATTTATTGATGAAATGAGAATCCCAAATAATCTATGTGATTCCAGTGTCCGTAATCGTGATTTGTAAAAGACCTTTTAAGCCCTTATATAGTTATATAACTAGTTTAGATGTTCGCAGATGAAATATAGAATATTACAAATTACCAGACAATATTACAAGTGTAATAGATGCTTATAGATGTTTATTTGAAGAATATTAGCTGTTTATATCAAGAATATTAAGCAACAATATGATATGATCTGTAATATTTATCTTTGTGTAAATTAAAGCATAAATGAAATGTTCTTTGGAATCAATTATGCAATTTTCTCCATTCATTTTTTTATAAATTATATTATTATTTTCTCCATAACTGGTACCACTGCTTATTTGCAATAAAGTACACAAAGATAGTGGTAACCTAAATTAAAATGCAAGTCAATTTGTTAATAGGACAAATGAAAATTTTAAAATATCTGCTTCTATTTTATAACTCTTGTTACCTATAGTAATTGTCCTTACAGGAAATGGCAAAGATTTTATGTCATTTTAATGATGGCCAATGTTTAGAAATAAGAGAATGAATCCAAGTGCTTATTAAACCACTCTTTATTAGTCATTCCAAGGTCACAATATACATAAATTGAAGGCAGAGACTATATAAAACGAGTCAATTATACTAACATTCAATGTTATCAGTCCTGTGATATTGATATTTTTGATGTTGATAATGATATTCATAAGCAGTGAAGAAAACTGGGAGGGCTCTATACTTAAACACTTTAAGATTTGTTAAAAAGCGATTAAAGAATCAATTACTGTGTGATCTAGGCAATTTGTATGCCAACCATATTGAATTGTTAATCAAATGCTCAGAGAAAACGCCAATTTTGAAATACAGTAAAGCTTCTATATTCGAACACCCCTCTTATCTGAACATCTCTCATTGTGAACATTTTTTTTCCAGTCCAATTTTTAAACTGGCATAGGTTTTCAGGTTAAAAAAAACTGAAATGTGAACAGCCAATCTGAATCTGATGGTACTAAATTCCTTAATGTTTGGTGTGTTTTTCAGCTGATATCAATGGTAATGTGGGTGTGGTTCACTATGTGCAAGATGAAGATGATCTCAATTGGGTAATGAACAAAGGGCCACATGCCCCCTATGCTGTGCTCTTGACCTCTGCTATGTTTACAGGGTAAGTTGGCGCTATTTTTCCTCCTTATTTGTCCTTGTGCACACTTGTTTGTCTTAGGGAGAAAATTATGATGTTTTACTTTGATATCATTTATAAGGCTTTCAGTCTTATTCATTCTTTATCCTAATTGATTTGTACAGTTAGAGAATTGCATTTAAAAAACTTTTCCAGGATGACCCAAATGTGTTTTACAATTTTATAGTTAAAAATTAGATGTTCAATGTCTTGATCAACATTACATTCAATACATTTTGTAGAAACATTTCTGTTCCATTTACTCACTAGTTTACTACAAGGTAAAATATTGTGCAGAAGTTTAAGATTGAATTCAGACAATTTTTGGCAATCAATGTTTTTGATTTTAAATTCATAGATGTTCCTGGTATAGGATTGGCTAATATCTTGATTGAAAATTTCTCTCCGCATTACAAATCTTTCATTTGTCAAAATCTTATAAAAGAAGTAATTCTATATTTTTAAATCCATTTTCTTTAATAATATACAGAAAAAAATTTGTATAGGTTATATTTGTAAAGGAGTAGTATCGATATGGTGAACTTTTTGAACACACGTTTCTCTTAAACCAGTCATCAAAACATTCTGAAAATTTTACACATCGTCAATTTAATGGTCATCTTTTGGATGGCAACATTATAATTTGAACTATATATATATCACGCGGTCCTAACTTCTACCGTTAATTTGAATTTTTGACCTACTGGATGTTTGAAAATCAAGGATTACGAGTCTCATACTGCACTGTTTTTCTTCAAACTTGTTCCATTCAAAGCATAACACAAATCCCTTTCTGATGGTACATTATTCTCTTCAACAGAGTCCCTACTTCCAGCGGCATTTTGGTCCCCAGCTGTAAGAAGGTCTTCTAACAGCTCGGGACCAAAACGCTGCTAGAACAAGGAACATTTACAATAAAGTAATGCACCGACAGAAAGGCAATTTTGTTCTGCTTTTAATGGTATAAGTTTGAAGAAAAATGGTGCAGTATGAGACTCGCAATCCTTGATTTTCAAGCACCTGGTAGGTCAAAAATTCAAATTAACGGTCGAAGATAGGACCGCGTGATATATACTTTTCTATATATTGTTTTATTTTAGAAAACACACCAGACACTTCTTTCGTTCTTGGTGTCATGTCTGGAATGAAATGAAACATCTATCCGACCCTCATTGGAACAAAATGACATAAACACAACGTGTTTAGGTCTATATTATACTATAATATTGTAATGGTACAAAGGAAAGTTTGGTTGATTATAAAAAAGTATCTTGTTAATGAAATAAAAGGTTTATCTTAATTTTTATCTATTTTTGGGGTTTGTTTTCAGTTTTTGGATACTTTTTGTAAAATCAACCAAAATTTCCTTTGTATAACTATAATATTGAGAGGTCTAAGAAAATGTTGTATATGCTATTTTGTTTCAACAAGGTTCAGAAAGACATTTTATTTCATTCTCAAGAATTGGTAGAAAGGCACAAAAAACAATTGCATTAAAAAACAAAAAATGTTAACAAAAACAGTTATATAAAATATATATTATATATTTAACAATTTTTGCATTAAATTGTTGCCAATCAGTCAACATTATATAAAGGACCGTGTTTTTTACAGAATGTTTTCAATAATTGGTTTAAGAGAAAAACATTGTTGAATTCAGTTCACCATATCGATACCTATCCTTTCATGTGTTGCCTTTCTAGATGTGTCCCATTTTTTAAAACATTTTTGATTTTCATATATTTTATCATCCAATTTCTACCATTTTTAAGTCTTTGGAGTACATGTCATACATACTTTTATCCCATACTTGGACGTGTTACAGGTACATGAAGTTGGTTTGTTAAAACTTATAATTTTCATCAGCGGGCAGATATAGCTTTACGTGCCGCTCTGAGCGGGCAGATATAGTATATCTGCCCGCTACGTCAAAATCGCCGCTCGCATATTTGTTCATAATTTGTAACGTTCGCTAGTGACTGTAAATGACAATGGAGAAAACACAGACAATCGGGATCTGTTTGATGGTTTAAAAAGGGAAGGAGCATCCACTTAATCAATCAAAAAATTCGAGAAAATAAATGTGGGAATATTTGAGAGAACAGGAAAATCCGCCCACGGCCACGATTGAACAATGTTAACCAGATGACCAAGATTGGTATGGGATAAACATATTATCGTATAGTCGGTTCAGGATTGGGATTATCCCTTGGCCTCGGGATAATCCCAATATCCTGAACCTTATATAGGATAATCTCTCTTGGTAGAAAAATCTTTTATTCAACCTCATTATTTCAGTGCCTTGATTTCTTGAATAGTTTATTTATATCTTACACTCATCATGTGCAATAAAGATTGATTTGTAGAATTGGTATCTGTTCAAAATTAAAGTATTTTCATCAAAATTTGAAAATCTAGATAATCGTCGATTGTAAACCGATTATTTTTATAATGAAAATTGGAATGATTCTCCAGGATGTATTAGAGTTTTTAAGACATTTTACCCGTGATGCTTTTAGAGCTTCAATTTTACTTTGCAAATGCACAAGTTTGATTCCACCATCTAAAACATTACCTCTAAATGTGTGTATCTTTTTATCCAATCTTTTTTCCACAGGAACTTAAACAGAACTTCGTTAATCTTATAAATGATTTTTTATTTAAAATTGTACACAAGTTGTGCAATACCTAAAGTGTTGATAATATGGGCTTTACCAAAAAGTGTGAGTTTTTTTTGTTTTGTTTTTTATTATTCCAATTAATCCAATCTTTCAGTGCATTCATTTTTGTCGTTTCCTTAGTAAATACTTAAACATTTTAGAGGTTCTTGCTTAAAATTTATGCTCTCAAACTTTTCTCCACTTCCCTTGTAATTACCTAGCCAAATGCCCTCTGTTTTCTCTAAGTTCAAATTTAATCCTGAGATTTTACGGAACTCATTTATTGTTTTGATTGCTTCTTTAATAGAGCGCTTGTTTGATAGAGTGAGAGTAAGTGTTGTCTGCATGTTGGACTATTTTGATTTCATCAATTTCTATTTTGATTCCTTCAACTCTACAATTATTTCTTAATTTGTTAGTCATAATTTTTACTCATATAATGAAAGTTAGTTTAGAAGCAGGCATCCTTGTCGAATACCCTTTCTTATTTTAATTTCTTTTGGTAAATGACCATTATTATTGATTATCAACTTTGGATTATTGCAAAGTAGCTTTATCCATCTTATAAAACATGGACCAGTACTTTAAACATGAATTCAATCATGAATTTAAACAATGAAACGCTTTTTAAAAAATCCACACTGATTGATAATCTATGAATCCAAAAATCATGAAAAATTGTTTCACATTTCTAAATTTTATTTTCCAGTGACAATGTGCGCAAGTTATGGCATGGTGGCAAAATAAATGGTATACTTGTGATCAACACTAACGAAACTGCAGACCCAAAGTCCTTCTCACCAGATGATTCCTGTCCTAATAAAGGCACAAGTATGTCTATGCCTATTCTATGGGGTCCTTTTCTACTGTGTAGCATCATAAGGTTCAAACAGCACTTTACAATGCGATTCACCAAATTAAACCTTTTCCAAAAATACTGTAAAGTGCTGTTTTCCAGACTGGGTGGTTGACCTTGGTTGATGTACTCTTCTGAAACCTGAGCAGCCACAATGCCTTAATTTTCAACAACTTTTCTTTGAATGCACACTGAAACAATAAACAAAGAATACATATTTACCAAAAAGTGCTGATTCAATAAAGTCCAGTGTGCCCAGCCCACAGTTATAGATGGTTTCAAGATTCTTGGAATTTAACTTCACATCAATTTTCCAAATTAAACAGCACATATCGTGTAATAATTTATTATACATGCTCTGGTAGCCAGAGCAGAGGATTTATCAATTTATAGAAGATTTATTTATCTGTCGAATGTTCTGTATTCAAAGCTTAATCTTTTCAATTGCAGGTATGTATAAAGAAGATGCAGATTATCAGCATTGTAAAACTGTCACCTGGAACCTGGGAGCTACAGGGTTAATGTTTGAAGATTTCAATGGACCAATCATAGCCCTTGCAAATCAAACAGAAGTAGACTACATAATCAATGATGTAAGTGAATTCTTTTTTGAGAGGATGTCAATATATCAACAATTATTGTGGAAAATGAAATATTCCCATCCACTTCAAATGTTATTTTAAGTTCACTTTCCACACTAGTTTTGTTTAGAAATTCAACAAAAAAGTCATGATGTTAAATTATTTGACTTCCCCTATCAATATCAATATTTAGACGCCATACCTAAATTTTAAGTATCTGTCTGTATTTGTATTGACTCTGCGTTTGAGAGCTCCATTTTGTTGTTCAGGCAAATAATGGTTATGAAATTTGACGTTTTGAATATTTTTCATTCCAAAGGAAATAATAGATAAAGTCTTGCATCCAGTATAATTCAATATTTTCTAAAATATCATATGCACAAAAACTTTACTATGGATGATTTTATATTTGTATTTCAGTGTTACGAGCGATTTAACAAACCTGTAAATGGTGAGCCACGTGAGTACCCACTATGCTCGGCTGAACTCAAGGCTAGAATGGATGCGGCCAAAGACACACCTACTTGTCAAAGAAGATCAAACCTCATTCAGAATCTCAATCCAGGTACAGTTTGAAACATGTTATTGGTGTCCAGCTTTTCATTTTATGTCTTCACTCTATACTACATGCTTTCCTGCTAGCTGGTTTAGGGCATTAACCACTTATGTCTAATACCAGTGGAAGGGCTAATGTAACACTAAATATAGCTAAATATAGCTTGAATGACTGGAGTAGTTTTTTGTGAATGATGCATAAGGAGCACTTTACAAACTTAACATGGGGTCTTGAATACTAGTATGTTTTTTCTGGAAATACTAATTTTTTGCTGTTCCTTATTTGAGTGATGGAAATGTCAAAGGATATTGTGCATCATACAGTCATTTCTTTTAATACACTGTCTTTGTTTTTATCACAGATTCAGGTTTGTATCATAATAATTAATTGTATATTGATTTTTAAATAGTCTTTGGTTTCATTGTGCCATTGTGATGCAAAATTATTCACTGTTTGCCTTTTTCATTTCATAGTTATTCTTTTGGTCAAACATGGCATGATATGTCCTTCTATGTCTTTTAATGAATGTTGACTCAGTGTCTCACCTGGCAATGTATAGCCTGTTTCTTTCAAAAAATTTCTATTTAAGTACATATTGATGCATTTAAGTATGTATTGATGAAAAGCAATCACAGTTCTAATCCTCACAACAGAAAAGTTGTATTGTACACATTTTTAAATGTCTGATATTAATTTTTTCAAATTAAGGCATTAACATTATTTGAACATGATTTACAACTTTACTTTTTTAAATTTAAATTTTAGATCATTTCTGTGACCCCCTGGGGGACTACAATGTTTATTCAAGTCTAAAGGCCGTAAAGAACAATGAAACATTGGCCGTTAAGTCAATAATCATGGCTACAACACGGGTAAGTACAATCATCTCTCTACTTAATATTTGTCAACATGTGCAGTACAGCACTTTGGCAGGCCTTGGAAGTCTTCTAAAATGACGCTAATTGTTATAGCTTATTTGCTATCAAGCTACCATTGAAATCTGCAGAAGTGTGTATGAAATTTTTTTTTAAAAGTTGATTGAGATTCACAGGGCAGAAATACATGTATCTGTAAAGACGATTTATCAAAGTTTTGAAATCTAAATCTTAAAAGCTGTGTTTTATTAATTTAAGCTCGATGGATTCTCATTATTCGACAACCTCTACCCCAGCGCAGATTCTGCTATTACTGGTACAATTGCATTACTTGCTGCCGCTGAAGCCATTGGAAAGGTCAAAGGTCAAATTATAAATGATGATAGTGCTAAAGATGTCCTATTTGTATTTTACCAAGGCGTAAGTTGAATTTATTTTTATATAGCCTGAATAAACTTTAATAGTGCACACAAACAAAACTTTAAAAGAACTAAAATGTAAAATTTTATGGACTTAAATTCTTTTAATTTAAACTTTAAATAAATCACAATAACATGATGGAAAAGTTTATTTGGTTTTCTTGATTTCTGAACATAATGGCAAAAAGCAGGAAGAAGATGTCATATGCATTTATTTTCCCATCAGATTAATAATGTCATTGAAATGTAATATAGAAGAACAATACCATATTTTTGTAACCATATGTATTTTTTTATTTTAGGAAGCATTTGATTACATTGGCTCTAGTAGGCTGGCATATGATATGTCAAAAGGAAACTTTCCTTATCAGTTCCAAGATAATGGTGGCACAAAAGATTACATGAGACTCCACCCAATAGGTGACTGAACTAGTGTTAGAACATTGGCAAATACAAGACATGTAGCAGCTTTTCATCTATTTTACAGTTATATGCATAGATTAATGTTATTTTCTGCAATTTTAATTCTTTGTAAATAAGGTTTTCAACTCAAATTGTATAGAAAAATAGACTCTTTATTCTCATTTTAGTGAAAATGATACATTTTGAGCAGTTTAAATGATGCCAAGCCAAGAGAAAATGTTTATTGGTCAGATTCTTATATTATATGGCCTATTGCCAATCAATTTTCTTTGCACAAATTGTAGCCTACCTCGTCTAATGTTGAGATTTACTTCGTTATGTTGTTTTTATTTAGGTTTGGATAACATAGAGAGTATATTGGAAGTTAACCAAGTGGGTTTAAGTGATGAGGGCTCAATATGGGCTCATACAGATCCTCTCAGCCAGAAGGCACACCCAGATGTTAAAACTATGGTAGGTACTGTTACAACAGAAATATCATGAAGTTCAAAGAATTAGGGAATGTCTTTTTGTCTGTTCATTTAGCTGGAGGTGATGGCTTTGTATTCAAGAATACTCCACACTGATGTACCAATTTTACTCCAGTTTTTTTAGTGGATGTATAAACTCTTCTCTAATTTTCAAAAATTCACTGTGGATGTACAAATTCTCCAGTTTTCAAAATTGTTGCTCAGTTTCAAAATGGCGGCTGTGTTTTTCATTTTTTAGACCTTGCACTTCAGAAAGTTATTTCTGATCTGAAATATGTATGAATTAGTAAATGAAATAATGAAGTCCAAAATAATAAGGGCAAAACAACTGGAATCATATTTTTATTGTTTGTTTCTTACTCAATTTCAGATTGAACACATAACTGAGAAACTGAAATCAAGTGGGACAGTTGCTAATTTAAGCATTAGCCAACCTTCAAGCAGTCAACCTCTCCCTCCAGCCTCCCTTCAGAGTTTCCTCAAGTATACAGCTCTGCCAGGGGTGGTCATAACTGATCATAAAAGTCAATTCACAAATCAGTGAGTACAGTACATTGCTGTAAAACATAAAATTTAAGATTGAATTATAATGCCTTGTAATTATGATGAATGCAAAAAACATTTAAACTGTAATAATATCACAACCTTGGACTCTTTAGGATGAGTTAATTAATTATCTATTTGTTGTGCTAATTAGGCTCCCAAAAGGCAAAACTGTTGAAATCAGAATAAATCAAATTTGTTACTTAAAGCCAGTTAAAGGTATTACTTTGTAACTAAAGTATTCTTCATTGTTTTGTTGCTAAGGTATTACAACAGTAGATTAGACACAGCAATGAAGATCAATGCTGACTACCCAGCTGCTGAAAATGACACGTTTAACTTCACAACTCCTGCTGCTCAGCAAATTGTAAAGGTCGCAACAACTGTTGCTAAGACATTGTTTACCCTAGCAACAGGAGTGAATGATACATCAAACGTTGAAGCAGATTTATCATCAGTAAGTTAATAGTGTTTTCAATGGATGACATTGTTTTCTATCAGCTAATATTTTGTTTTTGTCAGCATTCCATAAATTTTGCAGTTGTTTTGACATGATATTATACCTTTAAGCATATTATTAGCATGTACATTTTATTGGTCAACACTGGTAATTTATCCAGTCCAATCATGCTAAGCACTACATTCACTTCATATTGTAGACAATGATCAGCCACATTTTTCTACCAGCTGTTGACATTCATATTTCATCAGTTTCCTTTAAACCATACAATTTGCAAATCAATAGCAGTATTTCCTTTTCGCGATCATGTGAGCACACCAAATCGTGAAATTTTTTTTATATTTAAGAATAATCACACTGAATTAAAAGAATGATCCAAATCAGTTGCACACAATCATGTTTGCTTCAAATGCAAAGCAGGTTTAATAAATACTTATGTTTATTTTTCAGGTGAATATGCTCATCTACTGTATACTGCACAATCCAAATTGTTCATTATTTCAAGAAATCTTAGAAAAAAACAATGCTGGTGTTTTAGGTGAGTTATATCTCTATAGGTGTCTGCACAGGCCAGGGATTCCTTATAGGCCAATTTGTGAAATGCCAGACAAAACGATTCTGATACAATTAAAGCTAAAAGCTACTGTTCATGTCTGGTTCTACCTTTAACAGCTGCATTATGACAGTATGTTTCACTATTAAAGCATGACCTAAAAGCAAATAAAGTTATATAGTAAAAGTGAAAAAATTATTAGCAGAATGTTTATCCTATACAACACATCGGTAGAGTTTGATACAATATTTTTCTGAAAATACTGAATTTTAAATAACACTCTCGTTTAGTAAGTGGTGTGACAATTGCAAAACTAAAAAGATCATGCACTATCATTTTTAAAGACAATTAATGCAAAGTGAAAAATTCCTTAATTAGTTAATGAAAACATGAATGAAATTCTACGAAAAGTCAGTCTTCCCTAGTGCTTATGTTTTTTTTTCATGTTTTCTTTATTTCACGATAATAAGTCATACAATACAGTGTAGTAGTAGTAGTGGTTAAGTCAGTCTTCCCTAGTGGGGATGACTGACCATAACCCCTCACTTTCTGGACACAAGTGCTCTACCACTGAGCTATGCAAAGTGAGAACTTTCTTGATACATGTACTTATGTTCAGAGCATCTAACACAGTTTCTACCAAAGGCTACTAGTATTTATGATGCAAATAATAGGTTAATTGTACAGGTGTTTTAATTAGAATCAAAATCAGAGAGAGTAAAACTCATAATTGTAAAATTCTTTCAGCTTCGAGGCCATATCCAACATATGTAGGGGTTAATACTAACAGAAATACACACACAACGTTAGTGCAAAGACTATTAGTGCATTACCTCGGAGATAAGCTGGAGAGTGTTACTGAGAAAAAAGATTGTAAGGCAGAGACAACAGATAAGGTTTGTTGTGGAGCTTTTACTTGTTGATATTGTTCATTTAGGTTTTGTATTTCAATTGTTGCTATTATATGTTGCTATTTTTATGAATTTTGAGATGTTTTAGTCTTTTCATCACCCTCATTTTAGATATTATATCACTTCATAAAAGAACCCTATGTTACTAGATACGATTCCTTTTTAGTGTGCTCTGAAATCCCAATCTATAGTAAAAGCTATCTAATCCAAGTGGCACTCAGACCAAAAGTGTTTGGAATAGCAGATGTTTCAAGGGAGCCAATGGGAGATTACAAATTTGCTACTGAGAGAAAGTTCATATTGAAAGGCGTTCCGATGACAGAGGGGTTCACAAAGTCTGGTTTTGCTAAATATCAATTTTATAGGAAAGCGTTCAAAAAGTGTGATTGTAAAACTTTCCAGGACTTATATTGTTGAACACAATAAAACTTTCAGAATTCTTGAACATCTCTAGACAATGCTATCCTCAATGCTATTGTATATTTCCAGGTGTTTAAGTACCTCTGGGTGAATGGCCCTAAGAACAGCACCTCGGGAGAGAGGATGCCCCTGTGTGTAAGAAGCACTACTAACTTCTCTATAGCCACATCTCCTGCCTTTGTTATTGATGGTAAGAACATTTTATGAGCCAGGTCTGAATATCAATACCTCTTCAAAACATGTTTCAATATGTGTCTTCTGCTTCTGTGTAAATTACCTGTATTATGTGGCGGAATTATAACTGAATCAACTGACCGCTGCCAGGGTGAACATAATGAGTCATTATGAAATCAAATTTTCTGAGTGCCTCATTTACTCATCCTAATTCTAGAGAACTTCATGTTTTAATAGAGCCTTATTCCTTTCCAGATTATAACTGGGCTAGTGGGGAATATTCCACATGGAGTGAATCTGTGTGGCAAACTAATGCAATCAAAGTACGAGTGTTTATGGTCCCAAGTCAACAAAGACAGGTAAAGTAAAAGTGAAAATCATTGTGAATAGTTTTAAATGTTGCATTGAAATGAAAATGTGTTGTTAATGCATTAAAATGAAAAAGAATTATGAATGCATTGAGATTTGAGATGTTCCAAAAATGCATTGAATTTTTCAATATTGCAATGAAATAGACATTTCTGAATATTGCATTAAAAGGAAAATTCTCAAGTTTGTAATTGACATAAAGCAAATTCAAGAAAGAGATCATACAACTGGGAATCACGGGATACTGTCTCACGATTATTTTGTTAGTTTATGAATGCATTGAGATGTTCCAAAAATGCATTGAATTTTTCAATATTGCAATGAAATAGACATTTCTGAATATTGCATTAAAAGGGAAATTCTCAAGTTTGTAATTGACATAAAACAAATTCAAGAAAGAGATCATACAGAATATTTATTGAAATGTTTGCATAAGAATTTAGCATTTTGCAGTATGATTGTTCATAAGCATAAACGTATTAATCTTGCACATTTGTTTAATGTTTATATAATTTTTGCTTTAGTCATTAGCTTACATGCCTATTAACATAGTCATTATTGTTTGGTATGCTTCCTGAGCATTCCATTGCATATTTGAAGATCGATTTTTCATATTTTAAGGCATTCCTTATATTAGTCCCTGCCCTAGAATATATTGCAAACAGCCTCCATCTCATAGGCATAATTTTAAAGTTGACCAATGCATTCCTTTAAAGGGACATCAGAAGGGATATTCATAGAATATCTATCTTTGACTTGTTAAATTACAAACCTAGAGTTTGGACATGGCCTTGACCTTTATTTATCATTAACTTGACCTTCATGACCTCCAACCATTAACACAGAATTTGAATATGATAGTAACATATGACCTTGAGTTAATCTTTGATCTTTAACAAACCCGTCCCTACCCCCTCCCTCCTTGTATGTTTGAAGCTTCATTCCCTCATCTTCTACAAAAGTATGATAATGCTAAACAGAATCTTTATTTATGCTAGCCTAAGCGTGAACATATTCAAGGATTGAACTAATTATTTTTGCTTTGTAATTTTAACACTAGGTGGCGACTCTGTGTGCTGGTTTGGCAATAACCGCAATAGCGTTACTAGGTGGCGCTTTTTTGGCGTCAAACCGTGCAGAAGTTTTGTTTAGTGGATAGTCTTTAAGGCATGATGCTTTTATTACCTTGCATTATAATAGCATTATTAAAGGTTCGCCTCTCATTAAATTCTACACATATACAATCTAATTAACAATCATCTACACATCTAGAAAATGAAATGAATGAATCTCAACACTCCAATTATTTAGAATACACATTTCTTCAGCTCAAAAGGCTAACTCAATTATCTCTCACTTGCCAAACGTTAAACATAAAACAAATTTGTTTATGAGTAGAATTTGCATTTCATGTGAAATGTATGAGATTGTGCATTTATATATTGAAAGATGAGACATCAGTGATGAAATTGCCAAATTTTGTTCTTAGTTGTGTTCCATCTTTAATATAAAATTGCCAGTCTGGTGAATGTTCATGCTGTTTTCATGAATAAAAGTAGAAAACAGAGAAATTGTGGAAATGTTTCAGGATTACAGTTTATATGATAAAAACTAGCCTTGCCCAAGTCGGTCTCTTTTACTTTTACTTCTATTATGACCGCCGTAATAATTCAAGATCAGATTAGTAAAAAATACCGACTTGGGCAAGGCTAGATAAAAACCTAATGTGGGTTATTTCATTCCCAACAATTTCAGTGGTTACTCTGGTGACTGATTTGTAGTTAATAAGCTCTTAGCAGTTTAAACCATTCAATTAGATTTGCATCCATATTCTGCCACTTCTTTTATACTGCTAAGAGCATACTGCTAAGATTTGAACATGTAGATGATGCTTGGATTGGGGCTAAGCTGTAGCTTCGTATGCTTCTCCTTTACAAACCTAGGAGTCAGGTGAAAGTTAGTTTGAAAGCTTATGGGGGATCCACTGCTCAACATTTTAAAGACATTTTGCTCGCAATAAAACCTTCTAGCTGACTAAAATAGCACTCAAGATATTTGAATAATTGAATATTTGAATCAAAATGTTTTTAAAATGCAGAAATAGTGAAATAAGGTGAATCTATGCAATAAGGAACATGAAAATTATATAAAAAAAACATATTATTATTTCTCATTTTATTTATTAGAGAAATGCTTGAGGCATTTTTCTTAATATATAATTTTCATATCTTCCATCTGAAACATAGAGACAAATTCTTGTATATATTGCAAAAGTACCCCCACTAGTCTAATCAGTTGAGGCCTGTTAAATGCATGTACTAATTTTATTTAAGTTTAAAGTACCAGAAAATGTTTAACCCTCTCTCAACTTAAATTGTGTTACTGCAAAGTCTTATTACAATATGACTTTTTGTCATGCATTTAGGATAAATGTGCACTTCACAGTTATGTGCACTTTTGGCTTTGACTAGGTCCAGACTCCAGATATTTTCATGTGTTTTAAGCCAAGCAGCAAGGCGGCTGTTACCTCACTTTTATAAAAAAAAATATAGATATATTCATTTTGATGTTTTTTTCAAATAAAACTGAAATTGCTCAAAATATATTGTTTCTCATTAATAGGTGAAGGCAACTTAATAGTATGCATGAAGATTGTAGATTGTAGTGAAAAACTAACACTAACAATTAATTGTCATCGTTATGAACCATTCACAATTAATTCAATTGAAATAGCATGTCAATTGGCAATGTATATTGCTTACAAAATCTTTGCTCATCAATTCAGTTCTTTTATATTGTTTGAATCATTTGAGACATTTTTAACATCCGTTTACTAAAGAGACTTACAAAAGCTTTCAAAGACTATAATATGTTTCCCATATTGTGTCATTTCTTCATCAAAATATGTTAAGACTGTACCATACCTACTCCCATTCAAAATCAAAGATAGATATAAACACAAAAGTTTAGTTATTAAGATAACTTAACATTTCTCCTCTTCTATTTTCAGATTGGCACCTTACTCGGGGGACTTGGGCTTTTTATTCTGTCTCTGGGAATGATGGTACTGTTTGAGAAACGTGCTGGTCTCTTATTCCCGAATGAGTCAGTAAGGACGAGTGAATATTAATAATATTAAAAGAATTGAAAGCAAGACTCATTTTGTGTCATGTGCAGTAAGAATGAGGGATAAACTGGAAAAGGGCTGATTTCTTAATGAAACGAGAGATAATGAACTCCATGTTAAAATCACTGGAAGTACCAGAACTCCAGTTTAAAGTGAAGCCTTAGATCCAGCTTTGACTGAGTGAGAATTTCAGTAAAAGTATGGATTTTTATATACAGATCACGAGAGAAAGTTGGAGACTCAGCGGTTTCACATTTCCAGACCAGTTTAATAATTGTCGTATAATTTGTCCACGCTTGTAATATATATTGGACCCTCTTGTAAGTTGCACTTTCTAGAAAAATCTAACAATGGAATTAAATGTGATGTAATTTGTATTACCACATTCACTAGGTTGGATGATGAAATGATGAAATTTCTGAGCAATTTAGTCAAAGAAGAAATTGATCATTTTGATCTTTTTGATACGAGAAGGTTTAATGAAATACTTAATGAGGTATTAAAACAAGATCAAAGAGATTAGTCTAGCTACAAGCCCCTGTAACCCCCCCCCCTCCTTTCGCTACTAGTGACTACACACCTTCTCACACACTTGTGGACCTTCTCACACACTTGTGGGGAGATGTGTAGTAGGGGGGGGCTCACAGAGACTTGAGGCTAGACTAAAATATATCGTAACTTATTCAAATGAGGCATGAAAAATGTGAACGTTTACCAGAGGGTCAGAGATATACAAGAGGATGTGTGTGTCACAACCATACCTCATGTATGTCATGGAAACAGTTTCTTAGATGATGCTATAACATTGTTTACATAATGTGATTGTACATATTCAACACACTGTGCATAAACATTGTATATATCTATGTAAACAATTTGTATATAAGACAAGTGGGGTTTTTATATTAGGAGAAATGGCACCGATAAATTCTTCATTTTTGATATTTGTTTGTACAGTCATATATGTATACTCATGTTCCATTTCATATAAGAAGTTCATACTTCACACCACATACAGTACAGATGTAAAATAATCAAGTTTTGCATAGAAAACAAAGAGAGAGTATTCTTCTCATAGCATTGTTATATGAAGCTCATCTCCTGATTTCATGATATAACTTAGAATTTAAAAAGTATGACATTCCAGAATTAGTAAGTGAAGTTGGTGAGAAAGGATCAAATTGTTAAAAAGAGTTGATTATGTACATGTAATTGTAAGTGTGAACAAATCCAAATGTGTTAGAATGATGATTATAAACAGATAAAGTATATGTATTAATATTGCAATTTGTGATACATTGTAAATATTTAGAAAAGCGTTGATCTCAATCTTCAAGAATAAATCTTATAGATGCCATTATATCAACATATTTTAAAGCTGCATAACCTATTCAGTGCAATCTAATTTTTATGTCACCATCACAAGTGATGACATATTGTTATAATCTCCAATTTTCTGTGGATAGTGTTCTGCATTTAGAGTTTGGCATTTGGCTTTCAGAGTTTGGCATCTGTAACCAATGGCAGGTGGTGATATTTTGCATGTAAATGCCTCGTTTCACTGCCCAAAATCTTTGGGTCCTTGTAGAAGGCAGTTGATGTATGCTTAGTACTATATAAGCTTTCTGTATATTGTAAAACGGAACACTCAAGTTGTATTATTTCATACTTCCAGAACTTTCAATAACTTAAATAAAATAGAAAGGAAATGAATGACATCATACCTTGTTTAAAATCCAACATGGTGTCTAATATTTTCACAAAATTATGATGTTAATTTACTTTCAGATTGTGCCTCATTGGCAGCATTGGACCAGGTTAAAAGCAGTGTTCAATAATATTTAAGAAATAGAGGAAAAATTGAGAAATTGCATTTGAGACTTATTAACAAGACCAACCTGATATTGATACTTCAGTCAACTAACAACACAAATCAAAGACTAAAAGGTGATAGAAATATTTTTTTAAATAAACCCAACAATGTTTTACATATAATACAGGGTGGCCCAAAGTAAACATATTATTCAATACCACATGAAGTAGCAAACCACCTGGTTCATGCCTGCTATCTATTAGGTCATTAAAACGTTGTAGTTTATGTTTCATTTAGTGTAGATTTTTTCATTTGTTAAGAGACACACATATAATATAGTTCAATGTATCCTGTATCCAATTACATTATACTAGATTGTATATATAATTTAAATTTAGCTTTAATTTTCTTTAAATAATTGTTCACAAAAACACATGTTTATAAAGTTAACTGTATTATTGAAATGCTATTGTAATCATTGGCTTGGCAGGTGCATAGCCAGGATCGAAAATTAGGTGAGGCAAATTTGCGCAAATTTATCTGGTGGGGCAAATTTGAGGCAAAAGCGAAATAACAGTATGAGAATCATATTACATCATTTTCATTTTCAGAATTTCATTTGAATAGACTATCTGAATTTATATTTTCTATAAAATTTTTGCGAGGCAGTTGCTTCGCCTGTCTCATGCCCAGCTACAGCCATACTTGGGTGGCATATTAAATGTTCATGGAATTTTGTTTTTGTAGAAGAGGTTGGCTGTTTAGTTCAATTTGTAATTGGTCTTCTACCGAAAACTTCAAATATTATACCCATTGGTGGCAGTATAACACTTTTAGAGACGTCACTTGGGCAGGATGGGGCTCACTGTTCGTCACTGTTTGAGCGGTGAGCCCACACAGCTAATTTGACAGCTACTAAGAAACGTGAAAGCTAAATTATGTGATGACTTTTTAAGTAAGCTTACTGATCACATGATCATTCATTGATCACTCGGAATTCACTGATAATTCCATACACCAATAACACATGGAGAGGGGTTGGGGTATTGGACATAATTACATTTGACCACGTCAAAATGCTTATAAACTCATTGACATGTAATAAACTGTCATCACACATTTCAACTTATGTGATACAGGACATATTCCGCTCGGTAACAATGTATCACCACTCAAGCTTCACTTTCGTGGATGATGCAGTATTACCTTTTGTGGAATATTTCATGTGTCACGTGGTGGCAGTTTGTGAGGAGTCTTGAAGCATAACACTTATAGATACTGTATGTAAGATGTATATACTGTAAATTAAAAAATAAAGAAATCACAGATTCAGACCAGATCTTATGAGGTAGTACCAGCAGCCCAAAAATAAGTTATTGAGATATGATACTATGTATAATCTGGCCTGTATCCGTGACAAATACATAAAAATCTAATTTGATGTATTTGTTCTTTGAACAGAGTGATCCTACTCATTGTTAAAGATTACCAAGATTTCCATCAATTTTTTACATTTATTTAGAATACAGAAGAAAAAGAAGAACGATATTTGCACTTTTACAAAGAAATGACGAGCTCTAAGGTTTATTTTCGATATTCATATAATTTATTCAATTCCTGGATTGTCTTGAATTTGAAAAAATTGTGGAACCTTTTCATGAATTTCCTTTGGATTAATTAAAATGTACTAGAAAGAAATTAGTTTGTGTGTACATCTGTAAATGTGCTTGCTTAATTGTTTGTCTTGCTAAGTACATGTCCACCATGATTATGATCTGCGACGACTATAACGGTCTGCATCTGACGCGCCCATTCTCGGAACCCTTGGTGTGATTAATCTTCGCAGTTCATTTAGTTCTATGAGTAGACCTTCTGATAAATATAAAAAACAAAGGGTTAGAACGTGCAGGATTTCATGATGGGTAGAGTCAGGGGCTAATCATGCATCATTTTGAATACCTGAGATCTTTACCTTTAAAATGATAATTGTAGTGCTACGAAAATTAGAATATGTGCTCATAGGCCCTTGGACATTAAAAGTTTCGCAAAATGAATTACATTTCCTTTACAAAATTGTTTTAAATTATGCTATGCGTCTTGTGTGTCAAGGATTCAAACATATGTTCTTGTTGTATTGTATGTTTGTCTTAAAGGGGCAGCCAAGACCAGAGATGATTTGAGCATGGTAACCAGAAAAAATGTTACCACTCGAAATATAAGTAAGGAAACTTGTCTTTCATATTTATTACCTAATAAGTAAGCAAGTTCATTATATTTTGAAAACAAATATTAAAACAAATGGTTGGATTAGATATGACATGTTATTGATAATATCATAAGCTCATAATCATAGATTCAATATAAGTACACCACCCTTTCTGCATTAAAAACTTTTTCTTCACAAAAAGAATCGTAAAGATTCCATCATACTTGAGAACGTTATTCCAAAATAAGAGGATAGCATTTTTTTCTGGTACCCTGTAAGTTCAGGCTGGTTAAACCTTTATTTATCGACTTTTCTATTCTGGCAAAAATGAAAAGTTGACTACCATTTCATATTCTTATGAATTTGGATATCACAACATCTTAAATCTTTAATGCGAATTGCCATTGAACGCAGCCTGGCGTATTGGGTAGATTTGTCAATTTTGTACCCTATACATCTGTTCGACTTCGCTTCAGAGATTTGTCGTAGTTGTACTACTATCTGCGCAGAACGAATTTTCTCGACCTAACACTACATGTAACTATGGCAATATGGGTCAATTTGATTAATAACGTGATTTACCTTTTGATTCGGCTGTCTCCTGTACAGTGGTTGCCAGTGTTCTTAACTTTTCCATATTCGCAGCATATTCGTCTCTTAGTTCTTCTAAAATGTTACAAATGTTATTGTTTTGTACAATGTTTGTTGATAAAAGAAGATTAATTGTTACTCTAATCATGGGATTCAAGAGTAGCCACATCACCATATGACTACATGTATACATCCAGATGTCTCCCGAAAAAGATGCTCAGTACGATGCTGCGCTTGTGTATTTAAATTGTTGTGGCTCTCGCGCCCATCCATTTCCAGCAGGGTCCAAATTTTTTTATAGATAAGCTAGGCTTCAAGTGTTTTCAGAATAGAAATACCACCCCCCCACCCCTTGTTGGTTCCCAAACAGCCAGATCCCCCCCCCCGAGCTCTAGATTTCAAATTTTGACTTTTTTTTATCGCACTCACATGACTTACCTGCTAAAATTCTAGTTACTTACTTAATTCTAAAATGGCAGAATTCAGTTGTTTTGCAACTCCAGCATCGTCTAAAATCAAGAAATAGAAAACAAACATATCCATGTAAGGCTATATAAAAAGTTTAGACCATACAAGCCTTTGGGATGATTTTCCACTTAAACAGTTTAAGACATACAGGTAACATCCAAGAAAGTATTTTTTAGTACCCGATTCAGGAATATTAAATTCGGTTTTGGGAAAGGTACTAAAAAGTCAACAATCGTATATGTGTATTGTAAGACGAATTCTAAACAAATTCGTGCTTGCAAAATGTACGTTTAGCAGTAAGTGAAAATGTTAAAATCTAAAGGTAAAACATGCAATATAGCATTTGTTGAGTAATATACCTAACTTTATTACTTTTCGTTTTACATTTTTAGAAAATGCCATTTCAATATTATATCACTTTTATAAAACCTACCTTTATAGTCTGGGGGTATAGTTACATCAGTTCCAATTGCTAAACTTATACAGTCCTTATTCTTTCCAAATACTTTTTTAAGCTTTGTCCATACCTTCTGTACCTTATTGGCCATATCCAGTCCACTAAATGTGGCCTGTTGATATCGTTTCTTGGACGAAATTTAGTTCGTTATTCTAATGTGTCCATTCAATGTTAAGCTAGGTCAGTAGTTGCCATGGATTTTAGTCATTATGTTGCAATTCTAAATTCAGAGTATGACGTAACAGGCCTACTATAATAGAATTGGAGTGTTGGACGATTTGCATTAACATGAAACATGTCACCACCTGCCATTTGTTACATACACCGAACACAAAAAGTTCGAGACTACAGCGATGTCACTTGCCATACTTGGTAAACTGTAAAGGGGGGGGGGGGGGCTAACAGGCACTTATATCAATAGTACAATGTGCTGGACATATGTATGTATGTATGATATGGAGTTATCTCATAACACACATGGCGAGCTATAGCAATCACTCGCCCGTCTGTCCGTCCGTCAACAATAGTAGCACGTTCCTAAACGTGAACGGAGAATATTTAAGCGATGCATTTATATTGGCGATTGGTCATTCGTATAGGTTGGCGTTTCGATTTTATATGCAAGCTTAAAATCCCCATTATCTTGTAAACATGACGTATAGATTGCGTTCATTATCTTGACAACATTGTGATGGATATCCATGGTATTCCTTAAGTTATAATCACGGTTATGCATATATATGTATTGCGTTCTTATCCAAATTCGTATTAATTGCATTAGTGTTAGAGGATATCATACGAATGTTTCATTGTCACATTTGTCAGAAAAGTAGTAAGGACAAGAAATTAACATGCAAACTGCCATCACCTGTCATTTGTTACAGACGCCGACCACAAAAGTTGGAGACTATAACAATATGTCACCAATCATGGAGATGCATATCCATTTTGCACTGATAATTATCCTCTTTACTACTATTGAATGAATGCGTCAACTTTGAGGGTGCTGGTCCTGTATTGTGGTCATGCATATAGTATCTACATAGCCCCGTAATCCCACCCATATGGCAGGTGTATGGCAATTTGGCTAGCATTAGTATTCTTTTCTACTTCCTGTACTTCTATTTATTTGGAAGCACTTTTAATTACAAATTGTTAAAGTCTGCCTAGTTAATTAGCCAGAAGTTCCTGGCTAACATCGCTAAGTTTCATGTAATATGGTACCATTGGTACATTGTAATATTTGCAAGTCCGCCAAATGTTCAAAATAGCAAATCCGCCTAAAAATACTTAGAAGTAAGTAGCACCAAATTAAGTAGAAGTACAGTAATAATAGTATAGAAGTTGAAGTTTTGGCTATTGAGAAATGCTATCCTTTATATCCAGTCAAAGACATAGCCCAAAGAAATGGCTAAAATTCAGGAAATCTCAACCATTTCACATATTCTTGGGATGTGCACTAGACTGAATTTACTCAATCATTGATTAAACAGAAAATATAATTTCATTTTACAACATGGTCCAAATCATATTGTAAATTGTATTTAGAACTTTTACAATAAGTATCAGACAAGAAATGTGGACTGCAAAAAATGGCACCAAAGAATGTAGGTAAGTAGCTATATTGGCATGATGTTCAATTTGAAGAATATATGCTCATAAGAAAATCTTAATCATCATGTATTGATGCAATTCTGTCATTATAATTGTAATATTGCAACTGAATGTGTATTGCAGCATTGCATTCTATTGCACAATACTTTGGCAAGTAAATCATATAGACTGAAAAAGTAGAAAAAGTTCAATATGTATGATCTAATCAGGTGACTGGGCTGGCTTATGATTGCAATGTCCCTTTGCCAGTACATGTACTTGTTTTATGACACATAATTAAAAGTTCTTATACTGCAGATGGGAGTCTAATATTCATCCCCTTCCTCTTCACCCTCTCCATCCATGGAGTCGACACCAACCTCTTCATAGTCCTTCTCAAGGGCAGCAAGATCTTCACGGGCCTCGGAGAACTCTCCCTCCTCCATACCCTCTCCTACGTACCAGTGGACAAAGGCACGCTTGGCATACATCAGATCGAATTTGTGATCAAGACGAGCCCAAGCTTCAGCAATGGCGGTGGTGTTGCTCAACATGCATACAGCACGTTGGACCTTGGCCAGATCACCTCCGGGGACAACAGTAGGTGGCTGGTAGTTGATGCCTACTTTGAACCCAGTGGGACACCAGTCAACGAACTGGATGGTACGCTTGGTCTTGATTGTAGCAATGGCAGCGTTGACATCCTTGGGGACAACGTCACCACGGTACAACATACAACAGGCCATGTACTTTCCGTGACGGGGATCACATTTCACCATCTGGTTGGCTGGCTCAAAGCAAGCGTTGGTAATCTCAGCGACTGAGAGTTGCTCATGGTAGGCCTTTTCGGCAGAGATGACTGGTGCGTATGTGGCCAGTGGGAAATGGATACGTGGGTAGGGTACCAAGTTAGTCTGGAATTCAGTCAAATCGACGTTCAGGGCACCATCGAAACGCAGGGAGGCAGTGATGGAGCTGACAATCTGTCCAATCAGACGATTCAAGTTGGTGTAGGTTGGGCGCTCAATGTCCAAGTTACGACGGCAGATATCGTAGATGGCTTCATTGTCGACCATGAAGGCGCAGTCAGAGTGCTCAAGGGTGGTATGGGTAGTCAAGATAGAGTTGTATGGCTCAACAACAGCAGTGGAAATCTGAGGAGCAGGGTAGACTGAAAACTCAAGCTTGGATTTCTTGCCGTAGTCGACGGAAAGACGCTCCATCAACAATGAGGTGAATCCAGACCCAGTACCACCACCGAAGGAGTGGAAGATGAGGAATCCCTGAAGACCAGTGCATTGATCGGCCAACTTCCTGATACGGTCAAGGACAAGGTCAACAATCTCCTTTCCGATGGTGTAGTGACCACGGGCGTAGTTGTTGGCAGCATCCTCCTTACCAGTGATGAGCTGCTCAGGGTGGAACAGCTGGCGATAAGTTCCAGTACGGACCTCATCTGAAAATAGAAAACGAAGCAAAATCATGAATGAGTAATACTTTGGGGAATTCCTGGTTGATGTTAACCTCAGAAAATCAATAATATTATCATTATGTACTAATTAACATGATGAGTCATAGATCCAAGGCTAATCTACATATCATTGGCATGAGCTCAACATATGTTCAAAAAGGCAAGAATAGAGGGTTAATAAAATTCTTTGAGACAAACAAAAAGGAGAAAATTCAGTGCTCTACATTTCTTGTACTTTAAAAAGTACATAGGTTTATAGTCTATTACAATCCACTTGGGAAATCAATAAAGCCTAAAAATAAGCAATCAAAATACCACAGCGCTATTTCATAATATGGATAAATACATTCATATTTTACATGCAAAACGTTTGTGTATATGTTGGATTGCTTGTAGTTTGACTTATAAAATGTGTGGCCTCTTATATTTTGATGCTTCTCTGCCATGTTATTTCTGAAAAAATTAACATGGCTGAAACCTCCTTAAACAGGCCACAAAATTAATTTATCTGAAACATATACGTTAATATGTTTCCAGTGGAAAATATGAATGTAATTTCCATAGGCCTATAATATTGCACCTAGAACTTTTGAATGCTTATCCTTTAGATTTTATTGATAAAAATAGACTGTAATTTAACTAAATTGTCTAAATATTCATTCAAACATGTAACTAAATCAGATGAATTCGGTATGAGAGTGCAGCCTTATCAGATTCTCTTGGCGACTTGCTTGATCTAGACAAGTCGAAATCCGGTAATTTGCCAATATGCATTATTGGAAATTCAATGTACAATGTGGTCATTCAATAGAAAAGTTAGTAGATATCTTCTTCAGCTAGGCCTATATAGGAAAATGATACATTTGACGTAAAAATTAATTTTCTACAAGATGGACTTGGTTTTGAGGCTGACAGATCTGACTAAGCTACTTTCTTCTTAGGGGGGCTTTGGCCAGGAAGTGGAATTTTTCAAGGATTTTGGGGAATATCTTGGGAGTCAATAAAATGCGCTCAAAACCATACAAATCATATGTAAACAGTTCTTTGTGGAAATTGGGTGTGGCACATTCCAATCTTGACTTGACCTCATTAGATCTAGGCTAAATTAAACATTTTGTAGGCCTCGTCTTGACAGTAAATGATAATGCAAGTCACCAACAGGCAATCCTGAGTGCTCAAGCAAAAAATGGGTCTACTCACCTACTACACTTGGTTCGAGATCTACAAACACGGCTCTTGGTACGTGCTTTCCGGCACCGGTCTCGCTGAAGAAGGTGTTGAATGAGTCATCGCCACCTCCGATGGTCTTGTCACTTGGCATCTGACCATCAGGCTGGATTCCGTGCTCAAGGCAGTATAACTCCCAGCAGGCATTGCCCATCTGGACACCGGCTTGGCCAACATGTATACTGATGCATTCCCTCTAAAATAACAAGGAGAAACTCCATGAATAACAGCTAAAAGTGAACAAAGGAACCGGTTCGAAAATTAATTCAAAATGGCGGTGACGTGTTCTCGAAATTTCCCATCCTCTGCGAGCCAATTCCACAACAAGTAGAGTACTATTTTAGACAATGTATATACCAAAATGAAATATGTTACATGCACTTACCATGGTGATATTGCTGTTCTCGAATGTTCCCACAAAGCTGGAATATAAGGTGAAGAAGTTGCTGAGTTTACTCGCGTGACTATGTTTATGAGTCTGCAAGGAAATTGGCGGATGAGCTGTCACAATTCCTTATATACTAGCCGGCTGAGAGTGGGCGGAGCTTGTTTTGAATATAACCAATCGGATTGGTCATTGCAAATTTAGCGGTAACACAGTCCAAAACAAAGTTTATAAATACACATTCTTTTTATTCTCACGCTAGTCATGATTGCAAATACACCCAATGCAGACAGATCGCTAGAATTACATTTGAATGTGAGACTCCACTGGCCCACGGACCTCTGCCAGATTACCTCCTCTGTGTCTAGGCTCAATAAATATACTTTGAGCCTACTACCAATAGGGGCTGGATCTGGCTCCGGATCTGTGCACTGTGGCGGATCTGGGGGGGGGGGGGCAGAAAGGCCCGTTTCATGGGACTTTTGGGCAAAAATGGGCCCTCTAAGGACTTATTT